ACAACACTGCCCTGCACACCCAGTGAAGAGGGAACCAGCCCTGGCACAAGCACAGAGTGATCCAGCTAAACCAGGGCTTGCTGACTGAGTTCCTGAATTCAGCACTCGTCCCAAATTGGAAAAAAGTTTTAAATCACCACAAAAGGTCTCTATAGATGTCAATAAAAACAAAACAGGTACCAGGAAATTGGTAGAAGCTACGGGCATGCACTGGTTTCCAGCTGACCTTGCTCTATGATATTTATTGTCCAACAGGTGTAACAAGAACTGCCCTGTCCCACTTCTCACCCCAGCACTCAGGGATGCTCCCAGACACTCACACGGGGATGGTGCCTCAGCAGGATGCCTTCAGGACAATTCCACATCCTCCAAGTGCCAGCACACAGAGGAAAGGGCAGGAGTTCAGTGACGGGGGCACATCTCACCACATCTCCACGGGAATCTGTTTCAGCGCTGGCAAAGAGGTTATGATTTTGAGGCTATGCAGGGTCTCACAAGGCCTGCACTATTTTAGAGATGTCAGAAGGTTTTACAGCACAAGTGAGAAGATGCAAATGCTGTTGGGCTATTTCTGACCATAATCCATTTACAATTTACAGCTATTTACAAGTGCATGGAAAATAACGTGAACTTAACCTTGCATTTACATTCTCCTTTAGCTACATTATGCTCATCTGGAAGAAGATGAAAATAAGATTACTGGTCCATTACTGAGTTCAAAAAGCCTTAGGGAACAGTATAGGGCACAAACAGCCATCTGTAATCTGTTCACACAGATGCGTGAAAATCAAAGACAAAACTCGCTGAGGTAACAAAAACGTCCTAATTTAATTTCTACCAGAGCAGCACAACCCCTGCATAACAACACTGAGTTGGTCTAAGAATATGAGCTCAAATATCCTCTTTGTTCAGGTAGTTCCCACATGCTCCCTGTGATCCGCGCAGGCAGACACCAAGCGAGCAAAATATTAAGAGTTGCAAGTTCCAGCTGGCCAGGAACGAGTCATGCCAGACAGTGACAGATCTGCTGGGATGGGAACATCTGCTGCTACTGCTGAGGATACCAGGAATACTTGGACCAAGTCTATCCTATAAAAGGTTGGCGGATATGTGCTACAGCTTAGGCCAAACTTACCAGGGCAAGCAGGGTTTGTTCTGGTAAAAGCCCTTCTTATGCCACTGTAATTTACATGAGGCTCTCAAACGAAATAAATGAAGCCAGGGCAATAGAACCTGATCTACATTAGGGCAAGTGCCAGGACAAAGAGTGCTACAAAAAGAGTGCAGGCTTCTGGCTGACCTGTTCCAGAAGAGAAAACCAAGAGCTAACCTGGCTCCAGTTTAACTTCTCCGGGATGCACCTCACTCTGAGCCAAACCACGCTCTGTCCTGTGGCAGTTTCCTCCTGAGGAATCCTGCTTTTCTCAGGCTCAGGAACACACCACAAGATGTTACAGATATGCAGGAAGACTTCTGTGTTTTGTAGATGACAGGATTTGCTCCAGAGGCGCACAGAGGGATCAGATAAACCTGTATATGTAAGGCAGTTCTGTAGGAATTCACACAACCACCCCAGACCTCACTGCCCTTGGAGGGCTACCAGCCACTTGGCGTTAGGCAGCTGAGGCAAGACCTCAAGAATCAAACCACCACAAAAATTAAAAGTGTTATTGGTCCCACAGACTGAACATTTTAAAATTAAACAGGTATTTATGAGTTTTCTGTACTTGCAGAAGCCACAGTAAGGACCAGATAGGCAGATGGGACCCACGACACCAGCGACATTCCATGTGTTTCTGTGGCCCCTTCCCACTGAAGCTGCCATCTCTGAGCTGCGTGGATAATCCAGTTGCCAAATAACTGGAGGGAAAACACATCACTGTAATTTACAAGAGTCCTACTCATAACCAGTCAGCCAAACAGCTTCCATGCAAAACTAAAAAACAGGTAACGCTCCTCTCTCTGTGGCTGCACAAATCCTTCAGCACACACAGACTCTGCTCACACCCAACCACCCCCTCACAAGGTCCATGCCTACTTATTTTCCTACTCACACCCTAAACTAAGCATTCATGCAAACCCTACAGTTTCTGAACTCGCCCACCAACTTGCCCACAGCCACAGCACATAATGACACAGCCAGACACTGAAAACACAACATCAACTCATACTTCCCACTGCTTCACTTACAAGCTTCACATAACCACTCATTTTTTTTCTTCCAAGTTTTACCTCTGAAATTAGTTAATGGAGTCTCCTGAGCTTTGTATTGGAATTTTTCAAATGAGAGCAACCTGAATCAATTGGCATTTGGAGTCTGTAACAGCCTATGGTACCGGAGCACACTTTGGAATCTGCTACCCTTAAAATACAAGGGCAGGAAACTCTTGACTCTCCTGCACTAACTCTTCATATAGAAACCTAAACAGATTTTCTTTGCAAAACCGACACTCAAAATAAATGGGACTTGCACAGACTAGGTACAAGGTGGAGATTAATTTTATCTCCAAAAAGAGCCACTGAAACATCACCCTTGGCTGGAAACATATAATGCTCCAACACTGGCAACCTACCTGACCAACTCTACCCAATGTGAAGACCAGCTGGACTAAGAGAGAGATCCTGGAGTGATAAAAAGAAGAGAGACAGGCAGCAGGTAAAAATTAGGCTCTGCAAAGGTAGGCAATACAAATGTGTTTCTTAATGTGCCCTGCAAGAACTAGACACATGTATTTTTGGTTCTTTACATCTTGAAAGCCCGAGGAGAAGACATGAGTAAGCTTTAAAAAAAAAAAAAAAAAACACACCACCCCATACTTAATCATATTTATATATTAATGCATGTAACCTACTTTCACACATAGTTAATGAGTTCCTTCATGGGATTTGAACCTGAACAATTGTGAGTTTAAAAAAACCACAACTCTAATGACTACAAGTTTTGCTGCTAATGCAGTTGTGTCTGGCACTCTTATTCCTCACACACAGTTAACTCACGTTTCCCCAGTACATTTTCCAGAGAGTAACAAAATGCAATACTTTAGGATGAAATTCTGTGGAAAGCTGCTTCTCCATAGAAAAATTTACACTAAGTTTTCATTAAGCATATTTTTTTCACAGTAAAAAAAAAAAAAAAAAAAAAAGCACATTTCCTGTAAATTCATCCTGCTGTAACAGTAGAACAGCAGATTTCCCAAGGACATGACCTCTTACCACCTACAGCAGCTCCTCTGAAACTTAATGTCAGGCATGTGGTCATCTAAAACACGATGGCCAACGACCCAAAAAGCATTCAGCCCTTTTGAAGAGAATTGAATCAATGGTTCATTTCAATTTCGTATCTTTGACTTCCCTTCCACCTCAGTCTTCCAAACCTGCTTCTCAAAACAAGCAGTGACAAAAAATTATTGTCAGTACACAGGCTCCACTATTTCTTTTTTTTTTTTTTTGCAAATTCTCGCTGATCTTCCTTCTCTGTTATTTATATACTTTACGTTTATTTTTGTATTTGAGAATGTTGAAGTTGTACTACGATGGTCACCCAAAATACCATATTGCCTAAAAGCAGATGATAATATGACACTGCAAAAAGTTGCATTCTTTCTTTGGAAAGAATCCCCATCCTCACCTAGGGCAAAAATGCAGATTTTATGACAACTTCACAGGAAGCAGCACCTGGAAGAAATGCCCAACCACTACATAAAATCTGCTAAAGATTTATGATAATCCTCTGTTCAACCGGTCCTGAAGGTCTGCACCTACTTTACACATGAAGACAAAATTTATGTCCTTATTACCTGCAAATGAGTGGACTTAAAAAACAAAAAAACCCTTCGAAATTAACCACTCGTGCGTCTTGTTTACCCTCTCTGCCACGCAGATATGCATCACAAACATCTCGTGGCAGGTATATTCTCTTTACCCGACGTGACAGGACCTGTCAGCACCGAGTGTGACAGGGTTCAAACTGCTGTCAGTGGCTGCAGCAGGACTTCCCAGGAGCCGGGTTTCCCTGCACACACAGCCCAGGGGAGGCTCAGAAATCAGAAACCATGACTGTGCTAATGCAGCTCGCCCTCCCCAGCACTTGCTGTCAAGTGGCACAGTTCTGACAGCACATGCTGGTGACACCCTCTGCCAAGAGCTGCCAGCAATCCTGGCACGGCCGGGCTTTGTCCCTCTGGCAATTTCCGAGGGATGTTCTTGGATGTTGTAGGGGCACGAGCGATGGGGAGACAAACCTGTACTATTTTTTTTTCAAATATAATTTAAAAGCCACTGTACTTCAGGACACACAACCACCACCACCTGGCACCCTGTCTTGCTAAAAGGCATTAAGGAGAGAAAAAAATGATGCTGAAGTGCTGACTCGGTGCGGGCGAGGGACACCCAGCCCAGCTCCTCACGGCATCCCCTGGGATGCTGCCCCTCGGACACCTCCCCGACCATCCGCACAGCTCCTTCTTTATGGGTCGCTTGTTCACGCCAGGCACTTGGCAGCAATTCAGGTGTTGAGGGGGGAATTTTTTCCCCCGCTGTGTGACAGAGCCTCTCGGACCTGGAAAAAGCAGCGGGCTGAAGCCGGGAACACGGCGGCTCCTGCGGGGAGAATCGGCGGCACCGGCCTGAGGGAGGGAAGGAGGCGAGCAGGGAAGGAGGGAAGGAGGGAAGGAGCCGGCCCAGGTGCTGCTCCCACAGAAACACAGGGTTGTTAGGGGGGGAAGGGACCTCTGGAGATCATCCCAGTCCAACCCCGCTGCCCAGGCAGGGTCCCCCGGAGCAGGAAGGCGCCCAGGCGGGTTTGAACGTCCCCACAGGGGGACACTCCACGCCCGCCCGGGGCGCTCGGGCCAACTCCGGGCCGAGGCGCCGCAGGGTCCGCAGAGCCCCCGCCGGCCTTCCCGGGCTGCTCCGTCCTGCCCGGCCGCGGATCCTGCTCCTTATGTAACCCCGGCTCTGCCCCTCCGAGCGGCCCCGGGCCCGGCCCGGCCCGGCCGTACCTGATGTAGGGGCTGGCGGCCGCCAGGATGTTCTTCTGCACCGGGATCTCCTCGCCCTCCAGCACCAGGTGCGCGTCGCAGAACCGCGTCTCCTCCCGGAACGAGCTGAGCGCCCGCAGCAGCCGCGCCGGGTGCTGCGGGTCCGACACGGCGCTCGGCCCCGACATGGTGCTGCTGCCGCCGCCGAGCCGGGCCGGGCCGGGCCGGCTCAGTCCCTGCCCTCACACCATGGCTGAGCGCCCGCCCGCCGCTGACATCATCCCCGGCATCATCTCCCCGCGCCGCCCCGCGGGGGCGGCCCGGCCCGCCGGCCCCGCCACCACCGCCCCTCCGCCGGGGCGGGGCGGGCACCCTGAGCCGGCACGGCTGCGGGAATGGGGGTGTTATCCCTCAAAGTGTCCCCCCGCGGCTTTGAAATGGGGCTAAAGCAGGTCCGGAGAAGGGCAGGGGAGCCGGTGAAGGGTCTGGAGCACAAGTCCAGTGAGGAGCGGCTGAGGGGGCTCAGCCTGGAGAAAAGGAGGCTCAGGGGGGATCTTCTGGCTCTCTACAGCTCCCTGACAGGAGGGGGGAGCTGGGAGGGTCGGACTCCGCTCCCAGGGAACAGGGGACAGGATGAGAGGAAAAAGCCTTAAGCTGCACCAGGGGAGGTTCAGGCTGGCATCAGGAGGAATTTCCTCACATTAGACATTGGATCGGGCTGCCCAGGGAGGAGGTGGAATCATCCACTATCCCTGCAGGTGTCTGGGGAAAGAATGGACGTGGCACTCAGTGCCATGGTCTAGTTGACAGGGTAGTGTTTGGTCATAGGTTGGACTTGATGATTTCCGAGTTCTTTTCCAAGCCAGTTGATTCTGTGATTCTGTAAAACTGGCCTTATATTTATTGATTTATTTGTTCCCTTTTGCCTGCTGGAGGTGAACATGACCGGCATTAACATGAGGAAAAGAAAGAGAATGAGATTTAAGCACAGCGAGACCCATCATGATAGTGCTGCTTTCCACAGCTGCCCACTGGAAACGGCCTGTTCCAGCACAGGAGATCTCCTTCAGGACTGTTCCCAGGCTAAATTTTAGGCCGTTGATTATCAACGCGCTTAATTGCACATTAAGAGATGACTTGCTTCCATCTGCTTTCTTAACAGCATTCAGTATTTAAGCAGTGAAACTATTTGCACTGAGCAAAAGTGTTTGAAAAGCTGTGATCTGCTCTAAAACACACACCCAGCCCGTGCTGCCAGGAGGGACCCAGCACAGCAGCTCATGGCATTCCCTGCGCTGCCGGGCACAGCTGGACTGGGATTTCTCAGGCTGTGGAACACCTAGATGGACATCACACTGTCCATTGCTGCACTGGGACAATACCATTTTGAGAGGGCCTGATCTAGCAAAGCTGTGGTGGGTCACGTGCTTTTATTACTTGCATTTCTGTGAAATGTGACAAAATGTTATCCTCCGCTTTCAGTCCGATGCTCTCTCCATTTTACCACTCGGAAAATGAATTAAGGTATCTGGAAGTGACCCCAAATGAGTGCCTTCACAAAGGCAGCCTTGTTCTTCCCAAGCTAGACAACAAGCCTAAACCCCTGCTAATGTGCATGAAACACCAGCAACTTTGCAACACTTATGGTTATACATACCCATTTACAAATATTAGAAGGCTACTTCTTCTGGCTTGGGTATAATTAGTCAGGAGGTCAAGTGCAGGATGAGGAAGATCCAGAGGACACATTCCCAGCTCTCTTTGAGGGTAATGAAGGCAGAGAGCACGCTGCACCTTGACTACTTGTTATTAATACTGTGGTAATTGCATACCCAGAGGAACAGTGGTGTGAATTATTGCAAAAGCTGTCATTGAGTGGCCTGGTTATTTAAAAAGAAAGACATCGCTGTGTTTCCGTGCCTGCTGTTCCACAGGAAAGCGTTGTTGTATTTCTGGTTTTTGACTCGTCCCAGTAAACAGTGTTTGTGCTTCCTCCTGCTGCGTTATGTGGGGCAATGGGATAAGGTGTAACAGATAATACCCACTTCTGGAGAACAAATTATTTATTACACCTTGTTATTTGTTCGATTTAATGAAAGTCTTGGTGAGGAAAAAAAACAAAAAACCAAAACAACAACAAACCAAACCACTCTACCAAGGTCCACTTGTAACAGCTCTGAAGTAATTATGTGATTCATACCCATGGCCTGATTCTATCACTCTAGTATATACTTTTTTCAGTTGAGATACCTATCCTTACTGTTTTTATTTGCAGTCACTCAATTAAGATTTGCTTTATGCCATTCCAATAACTCCAGGGGCTTTACTGGGCTAATTTATGGCTTAAATTGGTGCAAAAGAAGAATCAAAACCATTCTGCCCTTGAGATCTCATTCAGTTTGTCAGCAGCAAACCAAATGACAATCATTACCACGTGCCACGTTGCCACATCAAAAAAACCCACGAGCCTTGCAGCCACCTGGCAAAGCAGATCTGCATTGCCCGTGCTGCTATCAGCCTGGAAATGATATGGTGTGTTACCTTGTTCGGGGTAAATGTTTCAGCAGGTTAGTATTGCAACCACGAAAAAAACATTCTTGAACAAATTTGTGATTAGCCACATGGTTTTATCCCCACTTTGTGTGCTGCAGGAGGATACTGGGATGGGCAAATGCAGATTTATATCAATGTTTTTCTCTTCAGGTTGAACACAGACTTGGTGCTAATCAAGTCCTGGGTAATACTGACCAAGGGAATATGGCCCATTTGGTTTAAAAAAATCATACCCAAGACAAGTTGTCACCATTTATTATCTACATTGTTTCTGCATGAATGTAAATAACAGGTTTACTTTCTGAGACTACAGGTTGTTTTTATGGGGAGTGTTCCCCTCTCCTGTCATCTCTACCAGTAAGAATTAGTTCCTCAGACGTCAATTAACTCCTGTGTCCAAACTCATGATCATCCAAACCCATAACCCTATGAGTTCTACAGAAGGAATTCCAAAGAAAAATTCTTAAAATACAATCTGCAATAATGGTTAGACTTTTGAATCATTGCCATCTTGTAGTTTCAGAAATATTTGTGGGCACTTGTTAAATCCAGACTTTTACAGATTAAAAGAAACAACCCCAGAGCTGGTGTCTTTTGTCAGTATCCCAAATCTTTCCTTCCACACCAATTCCATATTACACACAAAAATGGGATTCAATTTCTTCTACAGAAGATAAAGTTCTCTTAAATACCAGTGTTAACATGCCTTGGAAACATGAAAGGTGACTATTTCTGCAGACACACCTTCCTGAAGTGTTTATTTCCATTCTATGGAACAGGTAAACCTCTGAATGCCCCAAAATGCGTATTTTAACTAAACCTGACAACAGTGACTTTTTTTTTTTTAACATTAAATATTCTGTATATTCTTTACACTTATAAAGTGCAAAGACTTAAGCAGAGAAACTGAGTTCTAGTTGTTACAGAGCAGACAGGAACTGTGGCTGATGATGGTGCAGCTCCTGCTCTGCTCTAAACATCTTAGAACAACTCACCAAGGCCCAGGTTCTCATGTGATGGGGAGATAGTAAATGACAAGGATTTCGTTGTGTTTCCTACCTGTGAAACAGCAGGAGCAGCAAGGACACTGTGAGAATGTGTGTACAAAAGTGAGAGGTACCTGAGCAGTGTGGAGATGTGGACAGAGCAGATGGACACCTGCATGGATGGATGTACCCCTGGTTTTCTCCATCAGTAAAGATGCCTCCAGCAGTGAAGGCGTCTGCAATAGGAAAATACAACTCAAAGCAAAAAAGCTCTCAGTTAAAGAAAAATCAATGCCCCGGACAGGGGAACAGAAATGCACTCAGGGGATTAGGAAATGCCATTCCTGTAACAAAAACCGGTCCCGCTGTACTTGGCACTTCATGAACTTGATGTTGAAATGCACTTTTGAATTGGGCCTGTTGGTGAGAGTTGGGCACTTTTATTAGGAAGCATCTGGTACAGGCAGTGATAAACCACTGTGAGAACAGGGATGTTCCTAAGCACACAAAAAGCAAGTGCTCAGCTCTGGCAACAGCAGCTTGTATGTAGTTTCAGCTTCTGTGTGGTTCAGATGAGGCCTAAATTAGGTCTTTCACTCTTTCCCTAAACAATTTGTTGTCCACATGTGTCTGAGTTCTGCTAGAAATACACTGCCCTCATTCACGTACATCCTGTTATTAACAGACACCGGTAGCAATATTAACAAATACTACAACTCTTTTTATCTTTTACACAATGTAATCATCTAGTTACATGAAATGTCAGATATTCTCCTCAAGGAAAAACTGATTTAAATACAAAGTGCTTAAGATTGGGTATCACTAAAGTATAACTGAATGCTACATAAAAATATATACTCTATTTCAATACAGTTACTTGGTTTTGGCAACATAAAAGTGAGAAATACACCATGAAATTGCTAGCAAAGCTGCAGTATTGTGGATTCTGGATATGAAAAATGTAGCACCTCAACGTAATACTTTGGTTCTGGTGGAATTTAAGAAAATCAAGCACCAAGAGAACACACTGTCATGAATTATTAATATAGCAGATAGTTTAGCGTGAGGTTCCTCTGGCAGGAGACAACTTTCATTGTCAGCTGCAGTCTTGCGACAGCCCCGTGGAAGTTCCATGACCTGCAGACATGTGTGACTCATGCCATGTGTCACCCTATAAATACAGCACTTCACTGCCTCACAAAGCTTGAGCCTGCTCAAGGAAAACATTTCGTGCTGCCTCTGTCTCCTGTTCCCTGCCCCACGAGTTGTACACAACGTTAGCACTTCACACTCCTAATTCTGCTTTTGGAATAGCCATAGACCAGCTGTGCATACAAGAATTTGTAACAAAAGTCACTGCTATCTCTCATAAGAGATTATTCACAGATATTGAAAAGATTATAATTTCTTGTCACAAGAGAAGGTTGTTCCTGAAGGATATTATCCCACATTCAGCAGAAGGTGGTCTGTGCAGTAAGACAAACAGCATTTTATTCAGTCTCAGTCTTCAGATCTTGCTGTGGTATGAACATTCCGTGCAGGTCCAGATGCATTTCCACATCCACTGTGGCTCGTCCCAATTCTGTGAATGTTTTAGCATCCAAGACAAGTAGGAAGGGCGCTTTCTGCGGGTCACTCCTCACAACACAGCACAGAACAACACCTGTGACGTACAAGTGAAGAATTAGAAGCATGTAATAGTTACAGCAGGCAGACAAGATAACACTGTCAGGAAACAGTTCTTACTGCCTGAGTAGTTTATTGAGAGTGCTAAAGAACTAATGGGTGCTTCTCTTCTGTGCTTTCTGCTGCTCTGCCTGCAGTTCAGTGGGAAGGAAAACAAGCAAACCGACACCAAACTGTTCCTGGCAGTTTTGGGGCTCCTCCTTTCAGCTGTTTGCCATTTGCCTTTGCAAGGGGTCAGCTGAGAACAGAACTAGATGGAGATTACAGGGATACTTGCAGTGCCACTGGTTCTCACTGGTAGCATCACTCACTTCCCACTGTTGATAAAGAGTGGCTCTCTGGAAAGTCCTAAGCATTGGTTTTACTGTTTATGGCTGCGTTGAGACATCACAAAACTGATTTTGGTCCACTGTTACTTTGGTTTTATGTCTGCAGGAATAAAATGGCTGGTGCTACTTTTAATCTCACAGTGGAAGCATGAACCCAGCTTTCCTGATTAAGAACAATGAAACTCGTGAGATTTAATACAAAACTCGTGCAACTCCAGCTTTCAGAATGTTGCCATTATTTTACCGTCATCCTCTTCTCTTGCATCAGGGCTGGGAACAAAGATGGGCTCTGATGGCCAGCAGTCCTCCCCTCCCCAGTGGAGCATTTCCTTCGTCTGGGTATTAAATTTTGCAATCTAAAAATTGTTGTGACCAGAAAAGAAAAAACGTCAGTGACCCCAAGGGGAGCTTTTTCCAAAGGCACAGCGTGACCAGACAGCTGGCAGGGGGCACCAATGCTAAGGGTTAAGGAGCAATAAGGCACTGGAAGGAAACACCTGAAAAACGTTACATTTTGGAATCACATTTAGTGGCCTAATAATCACACAATGTTCTTTTCATTTCATTAGATTAATATTACACCTTTCATTTATAGTTTACAAATACTGACAGATCACGAGGTCTTCAGTATAAATAATGCCCTCACTATACAGAGTCCCAGCCCTGGAACATTTAAGTCCTTAATGCCAATGCAGTGAGATTTTGCAGGAAGCATTTTCTAATCCTGTGAATTATTTTCCCTATTTCTCAAGGCCTTCTATTGTGCAGTAAGGTACATATGCCAGAACCAAGGCTATTCACAGTGAGGGGTAAAGATTAAACTAGTGGGGCAGACACTGGAATTTACTGAAGGAGCAGAGCGTGGATTTTCATCTCACTGAGTGGCCAAACCAATTGCCAGAGGGGATGCCTGGCATTTTCAGTTCAATTCCATTAAGGCCTCTTCTCTACCCACACAGATGCAGTTCTATTCTTTTCCCTTTTGATCTTAAGCCAAAAAATACGTTTACACAAAAGTGAAACCACTGCAATCAGTGGAGGAGGAATTTGGACGAATTCTCTAACTTCAAGATTACAGCAACTTCACTGACAGACTTTACCTTATTATATTGAATTATATGTGGATTATACGTGGTGGTTGTTGTGCTTGCATTAATTAAACTGCAACTGATGTAAAAAAGAAAATCTAACAGCGTCTTTTGTTACATTTAAGTCAGTCAAGGATTATCTACGCTGGAAATCACAAACTTGCAGATTTGTTTGAGCTTCTGTCAGATATGCTGCAATAAATTTTTCTTGCATCATGCAGAAATCCAGCTTAATTTTGTAATCAGTTGTGGTAATTATATACCAGAACCAACAGTGACCTCAATTTTGTGCTGCCTTGTAGTCCCAGAGCAGGAACTGTAAAGAGTGAGTTTGTCTGTGTAGCATTCTTCCCTTCAAATACTAACACTAAAGGCTGTCTCCTGAAAAGCTGGCATCATGCACAGGTAAACAAAGCATTTTCTACCCCCTAATAGAGAACTAGCCAATAAAATATAAAGCCTTCTGAAAAATCAGATACTGTTTTAATATTTAAAGTTTATTAGGTAGTGTTGCAATATCTTATTTTTTTAGGTAGGTTTCCTAAAGGCAAAAAGGTATTAAATATGTACATCTATCAGTAATTCCTCCTACTCTCTCCTTGGCACGTCACAGAAGGTTCAGCCCAATACAGCAGAAAACTGAGGGTCTCAGTAACTATTCAGGAGACTTTGTGGGAATAGGAAGCCTGAGTTTATTAATTCTTTATCAGGGAAATGGTACAACAGGAGCTTACCCTCATAAGAACTCAGGCTTTTCGTGTTTCTTTGCATGGGAATGACCCACAAATGGGAAAACACTGACTCTGTAAATGTTAATTGTACCTTTGTAGGAACTGGACTCCACTGCACCTCGGTTGCAAACACATACTTGTGTTTTTTGCCATTATAGTCATAGTTGATGCGAGGCAGTTCTATCCCTGGGTAAAGTAAAGGTCAAGACTTAGCAACAAGAAAAGAAAAGTAACTCAAATGTACATTTACATATCCCAATCTTCAGGAAGTTTTGCCCTGTGGAAAACCCTGACACTGTTTCATAAAGATGTTGCATAGATTTTGTATGTCTGAATTTCTAAGAAGCAGGAGATGGGTGTTAATGTAATTAAGCCAGGGTTGTTAGTTCAAAAACTGACAATTTTTCCTTCTTAGGGATTCAGTATACTGGAATTTATGAAGGTTTTTTCGGTTTGGGGTTTTTTTCTTTCTTCATAAATACATGACTGGAACAACTGAGAGAAAACTGGAGGTTACCATCCTAAGACATTACTTTCACTTTAGGTAAATATATCCTATTTGCATATTCCCATTATTATCCCCTGAAAAAAAAGTCCAAAATCCGCTTTTCAAGGCAATCTTTATAAAATACAGCAAAACCTGAAGGTACTATTTATAACAGACCCATTTAACTAAAATGACTCTTGTAACAGGTAGATTTGCAAGCCCTATTAATAGATGTGAGATCAGACTTGGGATCCTGTATTAACACAAAACTGATGTAACATCAGGCATTTAAATGTTCAGGCTCATGTAGTACTGGACAGACCCAGAGGAAGGGAGTAAGGAAGAAAAAGATACTGTCATGTAAGCATATTGATTAAAAGTGCCATTTCCCTTCACTTTATAAAGATTGTACATGTATGAACAGCTCTCAGGCATTATCAGAATGCACCTCTGTGTGTGTAGGAGAATGTATTTGAGATCTGGATGATGGTTATGTCTCACCTTCACACAGTATTTCAGGTTGGCAGCAGATGTTCCCATCTTTCTCCTTTACAGCAGTTGCAGTAGAGGGAAGTGTGACTAAATTAGAACCTACTCCAGCATCCTGAAAGAGATATACACTGAAAAATCTTGTGTCCCTAAGAATATGCTTCCAATTTAGATTTTTCATCGTGTTTAATATTAATATAAACAGTGTGGGGAGTAAGCAAATCATCAACTTTCAAGAAGATCCTCCTTACGTTGTTTATCTTGCAACCATTCTGAGGTTTTCATTAGAAATCTTGTTATACTCAGGGTATTTTATTGTATCATAGAATAATGGTTTTGAATCAAACTGAGTCCTTAGAAAGGTTTAGATACACGTGGCTATGTTCCAGAAGTACAACAAATTGGTGAATTAAATGAACAAAGATGGGTTTCAAAGAACTGAGTATCACATTCCCACTAGAAGTCACCAATGTTAGGTTTTTGCACCTGCTGAAAATCAAGTGCAAAAATCATCCTTTGTCAGTGCTGCAGAGCTGAAACATGAACCAAGCAGCAAGACTCCAGGATGTAGAAGGAAAAAGTAATATCCATTCCAAAAGTCTCAGGCAGAAACTTGCCCCAAGTTGCTGGGCAGTATAAGATCTTCTGTGCAAACAATGATGTAAAATGATGTTTTAAATTAAACTGAAAGATAAAATCTTTTCTCTTCCTGGTGTATCTCCCACTTAAATGAAATCTTCTCATTTTAATATAACCACTGCAATAGTTGGGAGCATGTGTGTATTAAATGTGGGCTTCCAGTAAAGTGCAGCAAACAGATTGTGAAAAACCTTCTGCAAGCCCTTGCAGTCAGCAGCCAAGGTGATACATCTGCTTGTATTTGATGGCATTGAACAAGAAATCTCCCTGGGAAGAGAATGCCATGTTGCCAATGGCCCTGTTCCCCACAGGGATGGTGTCAGCACCAGTAACTGTGTCCAGCCACTCGCTGCCACTTCCCACAACACGCACACAAAACAAACCTCCTGCACCTTTTGTGCATCCCAGAACCAGAAATTTGCACACAAAGGCTGGCAAGTAATAATTCACCCGTTAATCACACTGATGTATTTTAAATTACTGATCAAAGAACAGATTAAAAAGCCATTTTCTTTCTACCTTGTCAAACTGCAGAGGAACCACAAATCGTCTGTAGGTCGGGATGGAGGTGAGCTTGATGTTCTCTTCAAAGTTTTTATTCATGTTTTTTAAGTAGAACATGTCGTATAAGCTATTGTCTGTATAGGCAATAATATCAAAAACAATGTGGCCATCCTCTTCATAAGCATTGACATGGTGGAAAAACACCATGGCATCAGTATAAAACTTGGTGGACACTTCCTTTTTAGTCTTCCTGTCTACAAAGTGAAACCAAGTCTGAAAGATAAAAAAAACATTATTGAAAACTGTTCATAGTCAGGAAACAGCTATTTAGAAAACTGTTTTCCACTGGTAACCATCGACATTCTAATCACTGTCTCTCTACTGAAGCATATTAAGAACTCGGGGCCAGGAGCGACTGGATGTGTCCCAGATGCTGCTGCAGGTTGGAATTTCTCTGCTAGAACACAGTATTTCTAACAGTACCTGGCTTCTAAACTACCCTCTTTCTCAAGAGCTTCAGAAGATTTATTTGTGACATTTCTGGACGTGGGAGAGTATTCAAAAATAGACAACTTCTGAAAAAACTGTGCAACACAAAAGCCAAGGGTTTAAAAAAAGGAGGGAGCACTGAAATGAAGGAAGCAGATGCCAACACCTGCCTGATTCCACTGCTCAGCATCAGAAGTACCTTGTCATCCTTACTGAAGGCAAGGCAGGAGGCCCAGGTGACACCTCGGATGTAAGCAGTTGCCATTTTGAGAATATCCAGCCTGAAGGGCTGCTCTATGAAGATGATGTAATTTTCTGTGATCCCAAAGCTGTGGTAGTAGCTGGGGTGGAGCAGAGAGCGAGAAGGGATGGAGCAAACCACTTCCAGGTGTTTGAAACAAGATTTCTTCTTTTCGTGGTCTGAATAGAAATGGTCAAAAAGAAAAACATATTTATAGTAAGTTCCTATCCAAACTTGTGCTTGGATTTCTGCCATGCATGGAAGAACAGGTTCCTCTCAGTTTTAGTTGCATTTTCCTTTTAAGAAGGTGGTTTGTTTACTGTTGTATAATTAACATAGAAGTTTGCGTCCCAGTGAAGCAGCACAGTGAAATCACAATGCCAGATCCATTCAGGCAGAACCCCCTTGTCCTGGGATTTGATTCCACTGGTTACTGTCTTCAGTACTTCCAGCATGGCAGAGAAAGGTGTTCACTTAAATCAGCAGCTTTTAAAAGGAGTTCAAATGTCCCCTTATGTTTTAACTGCTAAGGAGATGCTCCTGCTTGACCTATACTGAGTTTGTTTGAGCCCCAGCTAGAAATTCCAAACTGATCCTGCAGCTGTGGAAGGGCCTCTTGATTGTTCAGCAAGGGACAGGCAGCTGATTGTAAACACCACCACCCACACACAAAATATTATTTGAAGGAAACAGAGTAAGTGATTTGCTCTGTGAACAAAGGATGGTGCTTCAGCAATGCCCAGTGTAGGGCCAGGTTAGAGAGGAATTGGCTCTACATCAGGTATTATTTGCTTCTTTATTATCGTGGTGTCAGCATTTTAAGAGAATCTTCGTTTATGAAGAAATTAAAATTTCCAATTTCCCATGATATATAGTGCCCTATAGAGAAAATTGTTTTTTAAAATCTCCATCTGAAAGTAAGGTTCTTCCTAGTGAAATACCCTGTTTACACAGTACTCAGGATGAACCTTTGTAAGAGCACATGCCCAGACAGGCTAAGCACTTAACATCAATAAGTTGAAATTAAGAAAATGAACACCACTGGTTGCTAGAAGAGCTGTATCACTCCTCCTTACCTCAGAAGAGAAGAAATTGCTAAGGAGTTTCTAGAAAATACCAATAAAAGACATCTCTTACCTGGCACAGAGGAAGGAATCTTAAATAGAACATATTTTGTCTTCCCTTTATCAACTATTGAAGTGCCCATGTTGAGAATATTTCCATCACTGTCATAGTGTGGGTGAGAAGTTGTCACATTTACAGCTACGTATTTGTTGTAGTCAACCTGGAAAATGATACAATGAGAGATCTGAGAGAAGTGAAAGAGAATTAAGATTGATCTCAGCTAACATCACATATCCACCAGCTTTTTAGCACTGGCAGCCTTTTGTTGGCACCCCATTTTCAAATGACCTTGAAATTTAAATATTTAAACCAAATGGCGTATGTCAAATGATTTCCTAATTTAAGGCTAAAACTGAGTTACAGAATCTGAATTACAGCCACCCCTCCCTTGCAGCCATGTAACACCAGGGGAGGATCAGCTAAAGAAGTTCCTGTGCAAATTCCCATTGCACCCTGGAATCAGTTTATTTAACAGGGCTGTGGGTCTGGCAATCTGCTGCAGCAAAAAGATTTCTGTTTGATTTAAATTTCGGAAGTTGTACTCAAGCTGTACTGCCTGCTAGGAAAAAACCTCATTGAATATTTCGATGCATCAAGATTCCATTTTTGATAATTAAGTAATGTCTTGCATAAGGTTCTTGAAAAGCAGCCATATAACTGACCCACTGATTTGTTAATTATGTAAATAATTTTATAACTGAGATACATAACAATGGCAATCATCCAAAACAATCATGTGATTGTGGTATTATTCCTGCAGCCTTGCTAGATTATGTACAAGTGAAGTTGCTCAAAGCCCAGCTTTTTCCAAACCATACGGGATTTAAATTTGAATTCACGAGCCCTTAAAAGATCTGGGACCTTCACTATTTCACTTTGCCATGATTTCAAAAGTAAGGCAACAGCAGAAGAAAAATATTTGGTGTTCAAGGATCCTCATCAGTCAGCCTGAAACTTTATTCACCAGCAGACAAGGAACTAAAACCACAGGCAGAGGTTTATACCTTGTCCAACGTGTCCAGAGTCTGCGGATTAATTTTCCTGATGAAGTTGGTCTCACTGGTAGCATAAAAATCATCCCCAGCTTTCATAATGTTGATCAGGCAGTTGTCTGTGAACTCAGGGATGGTGTGAGACAAATAGCAGAAGGCCCTGGACAGAGGGAGATGCCCAAAGGGTTGGTTAGAGCCGGAAGCTGGAGCTGCTTTCCCTGCACAGAGCACGAGTGAGCCGGGCAGTGCCACGGGCCTGGGGCAGCTCCAGCACATGCACTGCTTCATCAGCACGGGCTAATGACACACTCTCCTGGGCCTGCCTTGGGAAAATTTGGCCTAGCAGTGCCTACCTAAAAGCTGGAAGGTTTTTCAGTGTATGCCTTCATAGACAGATAGAGTCATACAGTCCCTGATGGAATATTTTTGTTATCCCATTATCACAATTACGATTTCAAAGACCAAACTTCACACATGGGCTCCAAAGTTTTCCTTATTAGTGTAGGATCTTATCGTAGTCCCTGGAAGCCAAGACCAAGTTGCTGATATCCCTTTTGATCTTAAAATGCCAGTTACTCTCTTACTGCTGGAAGAGGGAGGAAAATCATCTGAATTCAGTGGAACAGCTTACAACACATCAGCTGTTTTGCAAGAACTGTTCCTGCACGTTTTCTTACCAAGTATCACGTTCGAGGTCACTAGAGGTAGCTCAGCCAGGAAGTAGAGAGGGGTGAGCTATTTGCATTTGTTGGGGAATACCTACAGCCAATCTCACCAGACCAATGATGGCTTACACCTCACCTCTCTGTAAAATCAGCTTTAATCAAAAAGCTTTTCTGGGTTTTTTTTTTGCTGTTACTGATGCTTCTCTTCTTTTTGTTGAATAGACTTTGCATTAATTACTTCCCCATCTCTTAGCCCCGTGCAGGGCTAAGGGTTGGGCTTGATGACCCTTGTGGGCCTCTTCCAGCTCTGCAGATTCTGTGATTCTGTGATCTTTTCCTCTCTCGCTCCTCTCCCTCCTGCAGACTATTGTCAGTTTTGCGAAAGAAAATGTTTGTTTTTCACAAAATCTGTTTGCTGTAAGTGAATAAAACAACCAACATGGGTGATAAAATCAATTTAAAGTGTTTGCCTTAGACTAATCCATGGAGGCCTTCTTGATATTTAGTAACTGTAAATTTGCTGAACACGTTATACCTGTACATATCTGTCAGGGGTAAACAGGGAGAGAAGCAGACAGAAGAATCTCGTTGGGAAAAGCACTGCTTACTTGGCAAATATGTTTTTACAAGGGTCTGGATAAGCCATCGTCCCAAACTCGGACACCACGATTCTGTTCGCTTCGACGTTGCAGTTGTAGGTGTCGCTTCGGAGGTACTTACTCCTGTAGTAAACTTCACCTGGAGAGCAACAAACAGCTTTCCAGCCTATTTGATACTCAGTTCTTCAGAAAATTAGCAAATTAGGTAAAGCCAAAGTTTCTCAAGCAGCTGTCCTTCAGCCAACAACTGTTTGGAATGAACCCAGCAATGTCCCGAACTCCCTGGTTGGAAAGGCTTTGTGGCTGCTGAATCAGGATTCCCTGATTCCCTACACATTTGGGCAGCACTGGGGGACTTCTGAGGGCAAAGGAGGGATTTGGATCAATTGTTCCAGTAAAATAAAACACTCTGTGCAAAAATGATTAATTATACAATCCGTGTGTGGGTGTGATAAATCTCCTGTTCTGGCAAAATCTAGTTAGGAGATTTTGCTTGAAAGAATCAGTCTGCCCTAAAATATTTAATGGACCCCCGTACTTGAACTAAGTGAGCTCTGTTTGCTTTAGATAATTAAAACATACTGGCAATTTAAAAAACACTGACCATTTCTTTACAGGTTATTTTGGTAAGGATGTAGATCTGGACAGGCAAGGAGATCCTTGCATGAAATGCTTCCAATCACAGAAATGAAAGGTAAAAAGTAAGCACTAGGATTGGAGGATGGTGGGAGTAAATCCCATTTTTTTTATAGGTACATACTTTTTGTCACAAAAAACCATCTTGCTTCACACTGTACACCAGCTGAATGAATGAAAAATGCCCTAACTGGAAACAAAAAAAATGCAATTGTTTCGGATAGAGGAGCTGCCTGTTTTCCCCTGTAAAGATGACAAGCAGGAGGATGGACTGTAGGGGTGTCAAATATCACCTAAGTGAGATTTGAGGTGTGAAGTGACACAGTGGCCCAGTTACTCTGCTGGCAGCTGTTATAGCTGCAGCCAAATCCCCAAAGGGGAATGTTAGTCTTCCCTGAAATTAGGCTGTTCATCCACAACAGAAAAATCTCCAGGTATTACAGGGTTGATCCATTTTAAAACAACAGAGGTTTTCTTGCTGTGGGTGGAAGGCAAAGGCTGCCCTGCAGTGACCTGCCCAGAGTTGCTTTCGTGCTGTCAACACTGAACTTTGGCACTCCTGAAGAAAGGACAATATAGCATCTCCCTGATAAGAGACACTCCTGCTGCAGACAGGGAGGTGCTTGCAGAGACTTTCCCCGCAGCAGTTCCCACCTCACACACAGGCCACTCTACAGACAAAACCTCAAACGCTCTAACCCGACTCAAAACAGCATCAGCAACGTAAGGCACCAAACTGTGGGTTGGGGAGCTGTTTTCAGTGTGATGTGCAACAACTCACCATTTTTAAATGTAAAACTGTGCAGCAGAGCCAAGCCATCGAACCAGTGGTTGTATTTGCTGTCCCCTATGGTGTGCATCCCTGGGCCATTCCGGAGGAGGATCCCTTGCAACCAGGTGGGCAACTCACCTGTAAATAGAAAGGAGTTACCAGTATCCATTCATTTAGGTGAGGGGCCTGTTCCAGAATGGCTTTCCTAAGGACAGAGTTTTAATGTAGTCACACAGATCACTGATGAGTTAAGATTTGCAGTACCATACAATTATGTTGGAGTTCAGGTTCACTAAAATTTCCTCTGCCCGAAAATGTAACATTCTGCATGACTATTGCTATATGAGATTACTATAAGGAGATGAGATGGCTGGAATGTAATTTGTTAATTATCAGTAAGCCAATAAAGTTGGAGCTTTCTTTCCTGCACTCAGATTTTACAGTGATACATTTCCACCCCTTCATTCGTGCCAGGAAAAGCTAGAGCTTATCAGAAACAAACATATTTTATGGGTTAGATGACCTGCATTGGCTTTCAGTATATCAGCTTAGACTTCAGGCTAAATTAATTCCAGTAAAAATCCCATTAATTAAATTACACAGCATAATGTGGTGTCATTTTGGAAGTGCTTTTGTGACATTAGGCATAATGTAGTGCTTTGTACACAAATGAAGTGCAGGAATATTGTACTGAAAATATGTAAGTACTGTTGAGCTTTGAATCAGAAATGTTCCTCTTCAAATCCCTGCACGAAATATATTACCTACCATTTGACTCACAGAATCACAACAAATAGAGAATGTCGCTGGGGTTAAAGAGATGAACAAAAGCATAACAGATATTAAATGAAAAGCCTCACTTGTTTCTCTTTGTGTATGCCTCCTGAGGGAACATTTAATATTACAGACTGCTCCTCCACACTGTTAGAATCACAGACTGGAATGGTTTGGGTTGGAAGGGACCTTAAAGATTGTTTAGTTCCACCCCCCTGCCATGGGCAGGGGCACCTTCTGCTAGACCAGCTTGCTCAAAGCCCCTTCCAGCCTGGCCCTAAACACTTGCAGGGATTGGGCAGCCATCACCCATCCTTAGGGCATAACTTCATCAGGGTTACAGTTCTGGAATACACGAGGAAGATAAAAAATTGTTGATGCAACAGGCGGAGAACTTTTTTTTCTTCTTCTTTTTTTCTCCCTAGAAGACTCTGGAAAACCAAACTTTACTTCCCTTTTTAACACAAAGAGGTCCCAAAGCAACAGTTACAGTACTTTAGTGTGTGTGTGATGAACGTGGTTTAACCTTTAATACAGGTAATTGCACAAAACCTGAGTAACTAAAAATAGCTGGTGGGAAGACAGTGAAGAAACCACCAGTAAGCAAAAGAAAAAAATCCTTCAGAGAGAATAGGATTATGATCTTAAGAAAGTGTACATTCAAAATAGATCCATGATTTTCATTTGGTTGACTACTGAACATTAACTGCTGAACAAGTTGAGTCTTTTTACGTGCCTAAAATACAAATGTTTCTCTTCTTGCCACTTCCTTTGCTAAACTTTTCTGTTTTCTGGCAGTAGCAGGTTGTAGCTTTGCTATTTCTCCCATATTATGGGCAATTCAGGCAACATCTTGCAGCTCCTAGGGCTAAAAATTTTGTTTAGAGATTATTCCTGTGTAATAGAATAATGATGCTCAAAAAGTTCCAGGACAGGCCAATAAAATAATTTTGCTGGAAGAGATAAACAGGGGGGAGAAGGATCTTCTTTTTAGAGCACTGTGGATTTAGTACAACTTCTGAAACTTCTGGTGCAATTCAGTGTAATTCCTGGCATATTTTCAGTATGGAAAACATGGAGCAAAGGGGCATCTAGTGAGGTTTTCAGATGAAAATTCATCTTAGTGGGAATGAACCATTTCTGTAATCACACTTGGTACCAATCAGCATTCTAAAGTGTTATATTGCTTTAAAAATCTGGACTCTGTCCTTTTCCCTACCAAGTAAGGACACAATAGTGACACAGGGAAACCCCCAAATATTTGGATATTTATTAACTATTGTAGCAACAGAGTCTCAGACGTGGCTGGACGTGGCTCCCATAGAGGGCATGGGTTAAATTGCAGCTGACCTTAGAAATGTGAGTTGATATTTACAGTGTACATATTGAGTAACAAGGAGCCAAAATACCGGCAGAGCTCAGGACTAGCAAAATATTCAAGGAGGTCAAGGTTCTCTGAAAGTTTTCTTTAGCAATGAAATTCTGTATATAGGAATATTTTGTATACAAAACTTTGTTTTCTAAGATATGCAGTCTTTGTTCAAATAAACCACTGCATAATAGAGACTGGATCTGAAAAATGGTTTGTTTGCAAACAGTTTCAAATGTTTTAAGAAGTTGTTATCTTGAGGAAAAAAAAAACAATTGAAAGGCATAAACCCATAAAGGCATAAAATAATTGAAAGGCCATTATAGCAAAGCTCTTCGTCTGACTCAACACAAAATCCTTTCCCATTCAGCCACCAAGCTGAACAACTACAAAGTCGTGCAAGATTTAATTGTCACATTTTTAAGCGTTGTACTTGGGAAGTGGCTTTTCAATCGGTGTAAGATTCCTTACGTTTCTTGGACTACTTATCACAAACAATACTGCAGATTTACTAAACAGGAGTTCTCGGCAATAAAACCTCTTCTGTAGCTGTAGGGAAAAAAAAAAAAAAAAAAAAAAAAAAAAAAAAAAAAAAAAAAAAAAAAAAAAAAAAAAAAAAAAGGGTCTTTTGTAAAGTAAAATAAACCAGGAAAAATAACAGGCTGGTCAAGTGTTCCTCTCCGAGAGAGCCACTTCAAACCGTCCCGCTGAAGGAAACTCCTCGAGTTTTACTGGATTAACTTCTCAGCCCTCTTTTTAAGGCTATCCTGGGGCGGTCAGTACTGCTGTTTGGCTACTTGTTGGCGAGCCCCAAGTTTAGTGAGCATCCCCCGCAGCCAGGGGAGAGCGGGAGCGGACAGAGGGAGGGCAGGGAAGAGACACAGAGAGCGAAAGCGAAAGCCCGAGCAGCGCCACGGGGGGAGAGGGGGCGGCCGAGAGGAAATCCCTCACCACCAACTTCGGTGAGCCCTGTTCAAACAGACTTGGGAAAAGTACACACAACTGCCCGCGAAGTGAGAAAAAGCCCCCAGCAGGCTCACAAACATTATCTGAGATCAGCCCTTTAAACAAAATTCCCTCGCGTATGTCTCTCTCTCCCTCCTTTTCCCTTTCCAGCGCTGCCTCGGGTGAACGGGTGTCGCAGTTTTTACAGGCTGGAAAACACCAAAACAGCGGCTCGTTTCGGACCAGATTTTCCTCCACTTACCCCGCACCTGGGCTTTTATGGGCTCTGGGTGTTCCTCTTTATTCCTGCCGTACAGGGCCTCCATCGTCGAGGACATCGCCGCTCCCTGCCGTGCCCGGCGCTCCGGCAGCCGCCCCGCTCCCCCCCTGTCTGGGCTCAGAACGGCTTTTTCCTGTTACATATAAAGATAAGGTCAAAGTGCAAGGCGGGCCGGTGGCCGGTGGCTTATAGACTGACAATTTATAATAGCTGATCTTTAATCCCTTGCACACCCGCCGTAATTCTTGCACGTTCGCACGGAAATTAACTCTTTCACCGGTGCAAAGGGGAAAGGGGGAAAAATGTGAGTCGCCCCTTTGCTCCCGATGAGCGGGGCTGAGGCACAGCCAGGGGCAGGCAGGGGTGGCTGGAACATCCCCGCAGCTTTCCAGGTAAATAGCTCTTCATACAGTCACTCGAACATATTCACCCATACGTGACCTGAAACCACTCTGTGAGTATGGCAGGATTCTTTAAATGAAGGCAGATTTTTAACTTCGTGCTTTTGTTTCTAGATAAGGTACTTAACTCGGTCCGATGTTGTTAATTTTAAAATCCTCTGGGAAGAGAATTATTTCAATATAAAGCATGTGATTGCAGAGCAAATCATAGGCTCCATTGACCACGAAGGATAAAGAGATTCTTTGCACAATTATATATTATGCAATTTCCTATGGGGTTACCCTAAAATCTGATTTTGTCAGCTAAATCACCATTATTCCCAAAATGTTTTAACATCACTTCTCAAAGCTGACTGAGCTCTTAGAAATATACATATTCATTTTATTCCAAACACAATTTGGGCTGCAGACTGCTCTGACACACTCATTAGACATTGTTCTCCTGCCTGTTCAGTGGCTGATCTTCACTCCAGGGGATCATCAGGACAGCATGTCTTGGTCCCTCTTTGGAAAGCACCTACAGAAGCAGAAGATAACAACATAAGAAATGAGATTAAAAAGAAAATATAAGGGCTTTGTTGGAATGAGTGATGTTAACAAACAGCAGGAATGAACCAGAAAGCTGCAGGAGAGGAAGGGCATTAAAATCCACACATAGAGGTACATGCACCTTAAATATGTGCATGTGTGGCTTTGCATATATGTGAGAGAAAGAGTGTGTGTGTGTGCACTGAAATGTTGACTTCCTTTATACACAAAGCCAAGTGAGGCATTTTTCAGCAGTGTTAGAGACTGCCAGAGCAGTCCCAGAGAGAGACCCAGAGCTGCCCAACTCTCCTTTCCCTAAGCCATGAGGACATTTTCTCTGTCCACAACGTTTTGCTTCACTTTAATGTGTTCATTTCAGTGCATCCTCATCCATTTCTGTGGGCAGCTCTTCATGCTGCAGTTTCAATTATCTGACCTGTGAGTTGTCTTATCTGGAGGGGTATTAAGATTTCCATAGAGCAAGCAAGAAATTAAAAGATTAATTCAAAGCTCTTTTGCCTTCTCCACCATGGTTGTTCGTGTGGTTTAAAGTTCAGCCAAGATGAGATAGTTGGAAACCTGTTAAATGTTGTTTGGATGGAAGAACAAGGAGCTATAGATATCCAACAGCTTCTGAAATCCATCTAAATGTGTTTGGTAGCTAATTCCAAATGTCTGTGCCTGAAAGTTTTGCCTCTTATTTTGTACAAATTAAATGAGGAAGCTTTGCAGGGTTCATTTTTCCTGCTTCATTTTTCCTAATACACTTTTGTTGTTGTTTTCCTCAGACTAATGACAAATAAGCAGTTTAGTGAGGTATGGAGAGATGGATTTTCTTGTCAACTGTGTAATTTCCCCCTTTTTACATCGAAATGGAGAAATATCAAAGCATTGATTTACAATTATGTGTAATTATCACCAGCAGAAGATGTGGATCAGGTGACTTTTCTGATGTTATTATTTCACGTTTCTTCTTCTCGCAAACCCCTTTGACTATAAAACTTCCCCCAACCAAATCTAACCTTTTTCTGCAGTTTCCTCTCTCTGTTCACCCCTCATGGCAACATTATTGAATCCACCAGCTCCCCACCATGGGCAGTTTTGCTTCACTGTGTTTCTTTCTGCTCCAAACAACTGTGCTGAAGGCCATAAGCTGTTTCCTCTTACACTTCTTCCTCACTTTCACTTCCCTCCGGTCTCTATGGGCCTTGAGCTTCCCTCCCGAATTTTAAAAGTGCCACGAAGAAGGTTTTGGAGCAAAGATTGCCCTGCCCAGCATCAGTCTGGTGGTACCTCCCAGGGACAGCAGAGCTGATTAACCACGTTTCTGGTACAACGACCATGTCATTGCTGTGCGCCACCTTTGCACTTTTGGTTCACTTAACAAGAAGCAAATAAATCACTCAAGAGACCAATATAATTGCTTATCTCTATGGTACTTAAATTATTTTAATCTCAATCTTCTGCTTATAATCTGAGTTCTAATTAAAGCCCATTAACAAAGGTCAAATTGATTCGACAAATATGACTTTGAGCGGCACTAAGAACTTTCAACTCCGGCTGTTATCTGCCACTACCACATAAAATTCCAGCAGCAAACCTGATATGAACTTAGGAGTTGTTCTTGCTGAAATCACACTGATTGCTATCTCATCTGCTAGAGACACAGGCTCTTATCTTTGTTAAATACTGCTTTATTGACAGGACCTCATTTCACAAAATTACCACCAGACTGTTTAGGAATATGTCCCTTGCACTGTCCCAATATAATTGCAAACACGAGTGACTAATATACTTTGTTCAAATTTAAATAAGAATAGTTTTCATGTATTATTCCAAGCAGATTTTATTTGTATCAAAACAGCTTTGATCATACACTGTTTTGATCAGTATTGTTTGGACCAAAAATAACTCTTTTTGAGAGATTTTAATGTCCTTAATGAGATTTCTAATTTTTTTTTTTTGGGGGGGGGAGATTTTTGTGAGATTTCACAATTTCTTTGCTAAAAATGTTATATTCTTTTATATACAGTCATGGCTTTAATACATCTCACCAGAAATACTGATTTGTTCATTAAAATAAAAATATAATGTAACTTAGTGTTAAAACTCTGTAAGTGCTTAAGCACAGAACTAATGACCTACTCACACCAGACTTCAACCAAGCCGAGCCTGCCCAGTGATCATAACGCCCAAATACTTAAACACTAGACAGTAAAACAAATAAACAGCCACCTGAACTTCCTCCCTGTAAGACTTCTATAACCTCATCTGCACCTTTCAACATCCCAAGCCCAGTTACATGATTTAACATGTGATATTGTACAGTTCAGGTGTGTGTTTTCAGTGGGCAGAATGACAACGTGAGGGTTGGCATTCACTGCCAGGGCTGAAGGTGTAGAAATGGGGTCACAGAATTAGTGTTGCTACACCCTGTCCTACCTCGGAGCCTCCTGCAGGACTTTGGGGCAACGTAAATTAAAACTCAAAAGAACTTCTTTGTGCTTTCAGTCAGGTGGCAGCTGAGAGTAGAGGGCTTAACACAGAAATGGGGCTCCTGAAGGGGGAAGCTGCTGGACCTCCAGCCTTCTCATTATGGGGATTGTGAAGCTCATCTCTTTTGAGAAGAGATGTTATTAATGGGTACTTGAAATGCAGCTTTTTTCTTTCTGTTTTCATGTCCCTTAAGCTCAGAAAGAGCTCACAACAAGCAGAAGAGGAATGTGTAACAAAATTAAATGAAACAAAGAAGAGGTGGAAGCTGGACTGGCTTAAGAATCTTGTGGGAAAGGGAGATTTCCAATCTTATGGAAGCGTGGAGAGTCTGCAGATGACACCACTGAAAATTGTGATGCCTGTAGATTGAAACCCAAGCAAATTCTTTTCACCTCTCTGTGCGTGCTAGGCAAAGTTCAGCCTATTTGTATCCAGCAGTTAATGTTTTACCCAAAGAGGGCACCTTTAATGGTTTGAACAGTTCTCTAATTAAGATATTAAGGCAATGGCACATCTGATTTGTGCCACTTAGTCAAACATGATCACGAGGACACAGGAGGTGTCATCAGGTTCTTCACACAGTTCTGCTCCTTTCTGCTGAACCCAAGGCTCACCTTGGCCATCAGTAACTTCAGCTCACTCCAGGACACACTTTAACCCCCTTTTCCAACTAGTCAAAGTTCTGCTGTGGAAAGCAATAAGAGGTGGGAAGTAGTTGGGAAAGAGGCAGATATCGAGGCATCAGCTGGATGGCAGGGGAGGAAAGTCCAGCTGCAGACCAAAGGCAGTACTAAATGCTTCCAAAGGGACAGTTCCTAGGAAAAGATCCTCAGGGAATTATCCAGGGGACATTTGTGCCAGAAGGTAACCATACACATCCTATAAACAGAAATTATGTCCAACCCAACAGCTCCTGAATGTAATCCTGCTTATCTTCATCCTGACCCCATCCTGCCAGGCATGAGCCTCTAATTTAATTATTGCACCCTTTATGAGATAAGAATTGTTTCCCCTGTTTTTTATAAACAAGATACCATCAAAATTGCAGCTTGGCACGGCTCACTGGTAAGTTCAGTGTGTTGCCTCATGGAAAATTAAACAGCAGAAGCAACAACAAGACCAAACCCTTTTCAGTCAGCAAATAACCGGGTGTCCCCATCAGGACAAGCAGCACAGGAGAGCAGCAAGGAAGGAAGGAAGGAAGGAAGGGTGATTGTGACCCACCTTCTTATTGGCAGATGGGCATTTTTAAAGCCAGCTGAGGAGACAGAAGGTGTAGGTGTACCCAGGGGCTTTTCTCCATCCCTTTCTGGACAGTCTGCTCAGGACTCAGTTATTACCTATTCAGATAATATAAAGTTCTTCTCACTCAAGAACTTTACATGACACAGTAAAATGGACTACTCATGATCTTGTCTCAACTTAATGATACTTTAAAATATCTTTTTTCTACCTTAAAGCCAAAGCAATGTAAATCAGGTTTCCATTCTTATGTTTATTTAATTATTAGAACAGAGAGATATTTCTATGCCTGATAAAATCTATACCTTACATTCAGTAAAACTCAGCAATGTAAAGATGGTAATATCCATAAGATGCCTAATTTGGGGCATGAAAGGCTGATTGGAGGAGGTGTCAGGGTAATGCTGCTGCACCTACACATGTTAGATGAGCACTGTGTGTGCTCTTCTCCTGGGTCCTAAGAATTTCAGCTTATACAGCTAAACTTTCCAAAGGGCATATAAGTTATGTATATAAACTTAGATTAAAAAGAAATAAATTGAGGATTATGAGTACTTGGAGATTTGGCCATCAAAACTGAGCTGGTTTTATGGGCTCAGTTTCAGGAGAGTTGAACAGCACCTGAAAGGCCCCCTGAGAGAATCCCAGTGTAGGCCACCATTATATTTTTTAACACCTAATAACTTTTACAGCATTGCAAACGAAATATGCTCCTGATTTCTTTCACCTCAACCGCTTCTACTTAAAAACAACAACAAAAAGTGAATAAACCTCGAAGGATCCATTTGAAAACCAGGATTACATTGTCTATTGGGGTGTTTTATATCACAATGCTTTTCTGAAGAAACTTTCCCTCGATGGCCACCATCTGGTGCAGATCCTAAGGGCGAGTTGGGACTTGTGTAAGAGATCTGCAGGGCCCCCTAAAACACTTCTGAGGAAAAATGGAAGTCTTATTCCAACAGACACAAGAGAGCTCACAAACAAAGGAGTCATTCATAGCTTTATCTCAGCTTGCAGTGAGGGTGTGAAGATGTTGAGAAAGCTTTGTCACTGATTTCTAAGTCAGAGCTTGCGAAAACACGATTGCTTTGCGAGCCTTGCTGGTGAGGGAGTGCGTTTTAGTTGAAGTCACTGGTACTCAGCACGTGGTTCCACACCAGCCTTTCAGGCAGCTCTAACTGAGCCAGGATTAACAGGGCCTGGGTGTTTGCAAAGGGTTGACAGCTCCTTAAAACCAACATTTCTGTACAGCCTGTGCTGTGGGTCTGCCCCAGTTCTTCAGAGCTCTGCCACAGGCAAACAAAAAAACTTGGGCAAGGAGTGGTTTGGGCGTGTCCACAATCTCTGGAGCTGACACTGATGCTTGACACTTCCCTGAGGTCACTGGAGTGGCTTTACCAAACCTGTGAGGGGTCAGTTCCATCCCCGTGGGTAGCCAGAAGGGCAAAACTTACTGTCCTTACCCCTGAGACAATGAAAGCTTTAACCAAGCATTTCCATCACTGCCTTTAGGAACAGGCAAGATGAGATCACACAGCAAGGTGCACCCTTTTGTCTCTTGCACACTCTTGTGTGAGACGAAGGAAAGTCTTAAATCATTTAAATTCAGCAAGCTATAAAAGGCAAAAAAACCAAAAAACCCAACAACTCACAACCTAAACCCCATTAGACTGTGAAACCTCCACGTGGATTTCTGGCATAAGAAAACTATTTAAAAAAGAAAGTCTTTCTATTGAGGAAGAATGCAAAAGGCAGGTTTGCCACAAGAAGGTAAGTTCAAGGAGCACTGCCTACTAGACATCCAGTCATTTTTCACTTATGAGTGAAGAGGCTTCCAGAATTTTCTCTCCTCCTGAAGACCCTAATTTTGATGCCCAAAAGTGGTATTTTCTTTTCACATAAATGCTTTTCTCTTTCCTGTGGTAAACAGAATAAACTGTCAGACTGCTTTACTGGCATTAAAATACATGAAGCCAACAAACTGCAAAAGGGGGGAAATTGTCTTTCTTCCCCTCTCCATCTGCTGCAGGCAGCTGAAGGGTTACTTATAGCAACCGTAGATTAGGAAAAAAATGCACATTGCTATAGAAATTGCCAACAGTAGACTCACTTGGAGAGCTTGGCTTTATTTGTAGACATTTCCAAACATTATTTGTTCTTTCTCAGGGCCTGTTTCAAAATCTGTCAAAGCCAGAGACAAGACATCCATTAACTTCAGTGGCTTTGGAGCAGATTCCCAGAGGACAGCCCGTGGCACCCCCAGCTCGGGCATTTTTAGCTGTATGTCCGTGTAGTCAAATTTCCAGTCGCAGAGAGAGAGCTGGATGATGCTGCAGAACACATTCCTGACAGGAGTGAGCCAAAGGCACCCACTGGGAATGCACAGGCTGTGTCACTCAGCCTGATACATTTAAGCTGAATCTCCTCCATTACACCTGTTCCTGCACAAACAAGCTGTGTTCCTTGGATCTCCAAGGCCAAAGTGGGTGTGGGGGTTGGCTGCCAGCTCCTGCAGAGTCTGGCAGGTCAGCAGGGCCCCAGAAGAAGCAGAGACTCTGAAGAAAATGTCATGCAAATATACAGTGGCCCATTGAGTGAACAGCAGGTGCCCCCCAGCTCTGCAGCAGCTTGGATGTATCTGTGAAGGTTTGGATGTGGCCCAAAAGAGGTTCCTAAATCGTAGACATTCCCAACAGAACCAGCTGATAATCATAGTTCCATAGTCTCTTCCAGGAAGGGGATGGGTGTCTGGGCCAGATCCATCAGATAATTAAAATGTGGGTTGACATTCTTCTGAGCGGGGAAACCCAGTGGGAATATTCACATCTCAGCTGCTCCATAAGCTCTCCCTATTAATCAGTCAGAAATTCATGTGGGATCTGCTCCAGTGGTTCCACAGCTGAAGTCCTGATTTGCAGGTGTGATGAGAAAGCAAACGTCCAGCACAGTGTCTATGGAGGCATCACAGTGCATTTTTTTCCCCTTTCCTCTCATCCTCCACAATTGTCCTACCCATTAAACACTTTCCCACGAAAATTATCTTGAAAACCCTCTCCATAGTCCTGCTTTACCCAGCTGAGCAAGACAGCCACGAGCTGGAGGTCCAGAGGGGTCTTAGGCTTGAGGATCCCTCTCAAATGGTTGATGGAGTGCACATACTCAACTTTGGCTGGCAGCTTTAAAGCTGGAGCTGCGCTGGCCCACTGCAGGTGTGGGCATTGCCTTCAGCTGCCCGGTACAACCACGCAGGAGGCGTTTCTGCAGCACAGGAATCCATCCAGCATCGCTGGCTCCGGCACCTCTGGGATGCAGGAACTGGCTCACTGATCCGTGGCTAAATATAAGTGCATGTTCTTTCAGTTTGAGGTTTATGGTGGCATAAATTAATCATCTCGGCATCGGATCCAACGGAGGTGATGCCAAGGGCAGCAGGATCACAGCAGCCAAGGATCCTCATTTGTGCTGCGTTTCTACCGAGGCTTTGCAAACCTGATGGGGATCTTTCATGAGGAAGCTGAGATGCACTTAGGGATTTCAGCTCCTAAATGTTGCTGGGCTTGCTTCCCGAAGTCCATCAGCAGCCTTTGGAACGTGCACATAGGGCTCCCAAGCAGTTCTGATGATGAAGGCAATATTTTCATCTTCTCTAAATCATTATTTTAACTTCAGGCCTTCTCCTCTACCTCCCAGCAGGTATAAATATTGTAGCTCTATGAAGCTGAGCAACTTAGCTTTTAAGAGATGACAGGAACATTTCACTTGGGGTGTGGAATTTTAAGAAGACACAACAGTTCAAAATGAAACTTTCCTGGAACAGCTGAGATTAACCTGCATATATGTAAACAAGTGAGTAGGATGAATAGGATTCAATAATTACAGACATTGCATTAGCATGCAAAAGAAGCACCTCAAACAACAATTGTTAGAAATAAAGCAGTGCAAAACCATTAAATTGTTTTTAAATTTTTAAATTGTATCTAGAGGAGCAGTGTGTGTTTTCTCATCTCATAACTCCTTGCTTTGCTCTCTTTCCTCATTCTCCTCTCATTCCTATTATTATATCTCTTTGTTGTTGTTATAAAGACCTCCAGCTTTGATGTTTGCACGACGATGCCTTTGATAGAGGAGCTTTATCTCACTTTCCCATGTGTCCAACAGCAGAATATATCAACTTTATCTTGCCTGTTCACGAGGAAAGCAATGCTTTAATGTCCTCCCTTCCAACTGATCCCACCTGGGACGTGACATTTGCACAATGGGCCTCACAAGGCCCTTGCAGGGGCTCAGCAGCAGCACCTGATTGTGGACACAATCACCATTATATATGGCAGGCAATCTGCTCCACACCCTGTTGCTGCTGCTGTGGGAAGCAGCAAAGAGCAGGAACGCTGAGGACACACCAAGGATGACATCCCAAGCTTGTGAAGAAGGCAGCAAAAGGAGTGGTGGTGTGGTAAGCAGGACGAGAGCCACGCAGGGCACTGAGCTGGGAATGTGGCTGGGGGTTGCAGTTCTGATTGCTCTTGCTGGAGGCTTGGCTGGGGAGGAAGGAATTGATGATGAAGGAACTGATGATGAAGGAACCCCCTGCTCAAAGTACCAGCAAGCTTTCAACCACTCCTGCTATGAGTTTGTGAGGCTCCAGCAAACCTTCACAAGTGCCCAGAGCTGGTGTGAGAGAGGAGGAGGGCACCTTGTCTTTATTCAGAATGAGGAAACGCAAGAGTTTTTGCAAAAACACATTGCTGAGGAGCAGGAGTGGTGGATAGGATTGATCTCAAACTCCTCGCCAAATGAAACTACTCACGGTAGGTGGTTTTAGAATCACATCTCCTTTTAATCTGTATCAACCCATGATGCTTTCTTAACATGGTAGAAAATGCAATTAGTCTCTTCGTAGATATCTGCTGAGAAGCCTCTGTCTTTTGTTGCTGTATCTTCAGATCTATAGCAAGGTGTTTTTAATTGCCTGCTTCACTTCCCAGTTGCATATTATCAGCCTTTCCACTGGATCTTGTGGTTGTGTGAACACATGATGAATTAGATCAGCCTGCTGACCCAGTGGAACAAATATGCTGGGTTAGATCTCCGGTGGAAGAGCAGGCTGAGCCAATTCATCCCACGAGGAAGTGCTGCAAGGTCTGATGCAAGAGAAAGGGTGGAATCCTGAGGCTGGGAGCACAGGACAAAGTGGCAGTGTCTCTTTTAATGATTGTATCAGGTTCAATATAAAATGTAATTGGAGATCCTTACCCAGGCTAAACCACCTCTGCTTCAGTAGGAGCAGGGCTACAATCCTGCTCTGCAGGCTCTGACTCTTAATTGAATTACTGTGGAAAATAAACATTCAGGACACAATTTCTTTGCTCACAGGGTCGATGATTTGGCTGGACACTTCAAATGTGAGCTACACTAACTGGTACAAGGATCAGCCATCTTCCATCTCACCCACCTGTGGGTACATCCTGAAGAATGCCAAGTATCAGTGGGGTGTGACTGAAAATTGCAGCCAGGAATTTGACTTCATTTGTGAGTTTGGTAAGGTACACAAGAGCTGGAACAGCAGAGTGAGTGTGCCGTGACCACAACTGGGCATAAATTGCCTTGCAGCTTTCAAAGTAGCTGGGCAATAACTTCACCAATCTTCCTAGACCCTTCCATCAGGTGAAGTCCAAGGGCTTCCCTGGTTAAGGAAGCAGACAGGAACTTGTAATTCCTGATTACATCTTAGTGCTGAGACAGAAAATCTACAGACATTGTGTCCCTCAGATTGTGACTTGGAACAAACAGTCCTGGAAAGGAATGGCTGCAATATCATCCCATTCAACATCCAGATATGAGGGGGATTTGTGTTCCTCACATGTTGTACAGAAGTTCTTTAAATTGTAACTGGAGCTGAGGTCACGAGCACTGGAAGGACAGTCTGGCTGTGGGCTCACTGATGTAAAAAGCTCTTGAATCAAGCAAGTACAGGTTTCCACAAGCCCTGACAGTGCTGCTGCCCTGGTCCAGCACTCCACTCCTTCTGACAGAAATGCCAAGTTGTTCCACAACAAGCAAAGCTAATAATGTTTTACTTCCTCTCCTGATTTTCTGTTCCATATCCCCTCCCCACCCTCCTCCTCAGCACTCCCAGTTCACTCCCAAATCCCCAGCACGTCCCACCTCTGCAAATCCTTTTCCTTCCCTCAGCTCCCTCCCCTGCAGCTGCTGCAGAGCTCCAGCTGTGTGTGCTGGCCACTTGAATCCCACATCGTGGAACAGATAAACAGGGTTATATGTTATCCCCAGTCCTAACAGAGGCAGTGATGTAGCTCTTTCTCTTCTCCCTAGCAATTGCTTTTCATTAAATTTTAGGGTGTTTTAAGGTTTATATCCATACATCAAATTTGGCTGAAGATGACTAACATTACAAATGACTGGGGGAGAGGAAATTGGCAGCCAGCGCAATCCCTTAAGCTTATTTTCCTTGCAAAAACAGGCTAAAATTATTTTTCCATTACAGCCACGGTAGACAACTGTCTGCTTGCAAGGAAACTATCATCTGTTACCATAGGATCTGACTGAGAGCCCATTAAATTCAAAGGGAGTTTGCATTATTGGGCAACAATATCCTACACTACATCCATCATTCCACTACCCAGGAAACCAGATTGTTGAGGCAATTACAGCCTTGTTTTCAGTATCTGTGGCCCATGTGCATTCACACATAACACAAATTACAATAACAGAGTCCTCTTTTACCAGTTTTGCATGCAAAGAATTAGATCCAATACCCCAAAGAAATGGGAAATATTTTCATTAGCTTCTCTGGGTGTTAAATGTTTGGAAATTCCCACCACTTGACAGTGCCTCAGTTTTTCTGTAAAATGGGTGAGTGGTATTTAACAGCCTCACATGTGGCTACTGGGAGTTGGTGCTCACAAACACTGAAATGAACAGTGGCTCCAAATAGTACCAATATTTAATATCTCTGATGCCTGGTAACTTGTCTGCTTGATCATCTGAGCTAGGAAAATTTGCACAATCAAACGACCAGACAGTGTTCTGTCTTTGTCCTTTCTTTGCCCATCTACCTGAGCATTATTTGTGGGTTTTATTATTTCAATCCCACCCTTTGGTGCTCTGTGGGTTAGCAATTTATTGCAGTAAATACCCAGGAATGCAAAGCAGGTTTTGTGTACCTTTCCACGTCAAAGTTGCTGAGACAGCAAATACTGCAGGAAATCTTTATATAAAGTAAAGAACCAAAAAAAAGCACGAGATAATAGTCTGGGCTAGAATTGAACAGCAAGTTATTTTTCAAGCTTATTTAGAGAGCCCTAATCTGTAAACTGATCATGTTGCCATAGTTACAGCCAGGCTTAGCCTTTAAATAACAATAGCACACAATTCTTGCAGTGTGCACACACTGGCACAGTTAACCAAGGGACCTGAGGGGAATGAGCCAAACAGCAACTGGAGGACAATGTTTAAACCTGGGACAGCTGAAACAAAATCATTCTTTTTTACAACACTCCCACATGGGAGCAGCTTTCACATCCTCCTCTTCGGGGTGTGAAGTATCCTGATTGCTACAGGACACTGAGAGTTCTGAAAGATAATTAACTGTCCCAGATTAATCAAAGAATGAGGTGTATGCATTTAGAGCTGTGACCTTACTCATCTGAGCAGCCCTGCTGGGTGAAGTCAGTCAGATATCACACAGGAACAAAGGTGTCTCTGGAGCACAGATGGGATCAGCTCCCATGCTTAACATGCAAACTCTTCTCCTCAGCAATTGCCTGAATATTATGCAAATCCCACAGCGCCACAAGGCTCTTTCGGAAGTAACTTTAAACCTTCCAGTACTGCAAGTCAAACAAATGCTAAGACTTTGCAAAAAAAAAAACAAAGTTTACTTTTTAGATTAAAATATTTTTGTTTATTGAAAATGTCCTCGATTTTTTAAGGCAGTAAAAACATAAATCTATTAATTTTGACTTTTTTTAAATAATTTTTTTTTCATTTTTTTAGCTTAGAAAGGGAGAAAAGGGAAGAAAGAGAAACAAAAAAAGGGGGACATGCAGTAGGATTGTAACAGGATTTTTCAGAAATGCAAAAAGTTAGGTGTTTGGGTTTTTTTTCCTACTAGAATCTGGCCAGAGCATTGCCTGTGATAATTACAATGCCACTGTACAGTGTGGATCTGGAGAAGTTATTGAGATTGGAGAGAGCTTCTATGGACGAAGGACCCCTCATTACTGTGTGTCTGACACTCCTCTCCAAGAGGACACAGATGAAAGCTGCAGCTGGAGCAGTGTCAAAGATGAAGTAGCAGGTAATTTATGGCAGTGCTGGTCAGAAACAAAGAGTAGGTGCCAAAGTTCCCCATCCCTAAAGTAACTTTAATTTGTGTTTCAGTAGAGTTAGAGAATGGGAAAGTGGATTATTCCTAAAGTGGAGGGGATCACTGAGAATTTCTGACAGGGAGGAGGTTCCTGCAGGAGGCTGGATGGAAAGGAAGGACTTTGTGAGGAAAGAAGATTTGGAGAAGGGGAGGAGAAGCAAAAGGAGGGACTTTGTGAGGAGCAAAGATTCAGAGAAGGAGCAAATGGAGAACAAAGGTGTACCTGGCTCCTCTTGCTGTGTGACAAACTCAATGGGAGATGCCAGTTTGGCAGAGATGGGAGGGGACACATCTAGACAAACCCAACTCCAACCCAGGAGGGTTGATACCCACGGGAACACGAGGGCAGGAGGGACCTGCTGCTGCCTTCCATGTGTGGAGCAGCCAGCCTGCTGGGGCCAAGGGCTCTGCTGCTTCCCAGGCTGTGACCCGTCCCCTGGGGATTCTTTGGGCTTTTTTACCTCCTCTAACTCAGCTTCATTCCAATAAAATGAAACGATGCTAAGAAATACCAGGCTACAAGCAACACACTAAAGCCAAAGTGATGTGGAAGTTTGTCCAGCAATCAGTGACATGGCACTGCTTCTCCTCTGCTTCTTGTTTCTCTGTTGTGACGGTCAAAAACAAACCCCACCCATTGAAACAAAGCTCTCCTTCTTTCCAGGCCAGTGTCACGGTCTCCAGGCCTGCCAGGTGACAGCAGATGGCACTTTCTTTGGGGATCCTTGTCCAGCTTGGGGAAGCTATTTGTCTATTCAGTACCACTGCAGAGAAGGTAAGAGGGAGGGGGTTTGGTAACACCAAAAGCCTGCCCTGCTCTTTGCTGGAATATTGTGACCATTGATATTTATCTTAAAGATCACCTCTCCATCCTCAGGGAAGAAATGGAATAGCAGTGGCCACTATAAGCACAAAAATGTAGATTCCCTGTCCTAACTGAGGGGGTTTGGATAGAATACAAAGCTTGGAAATCCAGACACATAAAACACGCTTGAATAAAATCATGTCCAACAGGGATCTTGATGAGTAGGTATGGAAAAGAATCAGCTCCCTGTCACAGCACTAATGCACACAAATCAGCAGCAGCTCTGGTTTGGAGCAGGCTGGCTCTCAGTGCAGGAAAATGAATTGAATTATGTAAGAAATGCAGGCAACAAACACTGGCCTGGAATTCTGTCATTCTGTTTTACAGGTCTGCAGCTGGTGGTGACAGATACATGTTTTGTCTCTGAAAATGTCACGGTCAGTCTGAACTGGCTGCTCTCACCATATTCTGGCAACCTTTCCTGTACCATCAGCACTGGAGATGGTCACACTATTGATCCTTACTACCCTCCAACGTAAGATATATCCTTCCTGTGTCATCAGACAAACACTCCATTTCATTGCTCACACTTTACTGAATATTTCAAGACTCATAAATATGTTAAAAATTAAGTAGATTAATAATAGACCATAAATACAAGACACTTGGACCTGGAGAACCCTCTTTTGAAGTTACTACACAATTTTATGTCAAGCTGCCAACCACAATATTTCTTGTGTTTATTATAACAAGTGTTTCCTATTTCTAAGAGAATTTATTCCAGATCCTAAGACTCAAAATTACTGATGTTGTCCTAGTGCTGGGAATGACAGAGAAGGGCTCTAGAAATTTATTTATCTACTGATGGAATCCCACTTGAGTTAAGGAAAACAAGAGTAAAAGAATGAAACTCAAAAATGCACTAGAAACACTAAACTTTCTTCAGAATGTTTCTTCATTCAAACACCTACTGAGAAATATGCATTATCAGGGATGATGAGTCCTGATCTTTGCATTTGCTGGGTGATACTATGGTAAGAATCTAAGGAGTTCAGAGAGAAAAGCGTCTGCAATATCACTGATTTGCCTTCCATGGTGTTTGTCATTCAGGAAGGATATCAGTGCTCTTTGCACCATCCCCCATGTGTGTTAGTGGTAACAGCAACCCCCACAGCCATTCATCTCCCACTGCTGTGGTGACTGGAGCTGCACCAGACCCAAGAGTGAAGAGATGCTTTTGCTGGCATGGGCAAGGAGAGAAGCAGCTGCACCTAAAACTCATCTCCCTACCTGACAGCAAAATGTACCCACCCTTAGAGATGTGATTTGAGAATTACCACCCTGATACCAGGAGGTATTAGGAAGGGGACAATCTTCAACCCTACAAACTCCATGCAAATAAACAAGGGATTGCAGTGATTGCAGGATTGCTGAGCCAGGTCAGAAATTTGGGAGTGTGACCAGCGTAACCATTTAGGGTGATGGACTTCCCAGGACAGTCTTCCACAAGGAGCAGATGTTCTCTTTCTGTTCCAGACTGGTCAGCAACATCACACACAGATACTCCTCTCCTGGAGAGTTCACTGTCTTTGTGGAGTGCAGCACCAGCGAATGGCACGTGATGGCCCAGAGGCAGGTGACAGTCCAGGACAAGATGGATCAACTCAGCATTACTGGGTGCTACAGCCAGCACGGAGCTGGGAGCAGCTCTCCCTGCCAGGCTCTGTATGGGGAGGTGTTGTGGATTCAGGTGGAACTCAATGGAGGTGAGGGTAATTCCTCTGCGTGATTTCAAGGGCGGGTTAAATATTATGCCATCCTTCTTTTTAAAGAATGATTTTCCTCTCATTCCTGCAGCTGAATGCTCCCAGCTGCACTGGAGGGCTTCTCTCTCAGAGATATTTCACCACTAAATCATAAGTATAAATGATTTTTTTTCCTATTTACAAAGCTGACAGAGCATCAGTCATATAAATGCTGTGGATTTATATGGCTAGAGTTCATGCTCTGACAGAGCGTGAGCTCTGTCAGAGCATGAACTCTAACTTTAGTCATATAAATCCACAGGATACCAGTCAGAATATTTCTGTATTTGAAGTTAGAAATTCACAGGAATGCTTCTCTGATTGAGGGTTAGAGGATTCCACGCTGAGCTGGGCACATTTGCTGGTGGACGTTTCTTTGTCACTTCCAGTGTCTGGAAACCACAGTATAAAATTCAGTATTGTATGAATTCTTTTGGCTGCCCAAACAGTACCAGCAGGAAACACATGACAGACTTCCATAAAGTCACCCAAAGTGACTTTATTAAAAAAGACTGCACTGCTGCAGTTCTTGTGACTGGAATGCTGGACAAAGCCACTGGAATTGCTTGGCCTGTTCCACAAGCGGTGAGGAATTTTTTTGGTGTGTGTTTTCGCAGGCAGCGGAGTGACCTACACTATGGTAGCAGATAACATCACCCTGGCTGAATCCAGTGCCAAGGAAGGAATTGCCCCTCACAACCTGACACTGGACAGTGCCTCTCAAGAGCTGCTGGGCCCGGGGACGCATCAGCTGGAAATCCGAGCGTCCAGCAGCACCACAGCCTCGGAGATCTCCGAGACTTTGGCCGTTCACTTAGTGGAGCCAATATCTGGTCTTCAGGCTGTGCTGGCTTCCCACACTCTGCAGGTGGGGGACAACATGGAGGTGAATGTCTCTGTGCATCGAGGTGCCCCGGACGAGGTGACGGTTGAGGTGACGGGCTCGAACGAGACTCGCTGTCACACCGAGGATGGGCCTCGTGGGGAGCCTCGCACCTACCTCGTTCCCACCCACTCGGAAGGTACGGCCCACCCACCCATCCCCTGCTTCCCACTGGAGCTCCCAGAGGGAGTCACAGCATCCTGGGCTGGGGGACAATAATGTACAGCTGAACTGGGGGGCTTTTCTGACCGCCAGGCTCGGTCTGCAGAGCGGTGGGAGTGGCACGGTCGCGCTGACTTGTGAGGGAGCTAAAAAACCTTGAGCTGATGGATGGGCCTCTCCACGGAGACTGAAAGCAAAGCTCCACCTGAGCCTTGCCATGGAAAAGACATAGGGTTTATTTTTTTATGACACAATCTGATTCAAGTACAGATGAGGGCGTTTTCCTGAGTCACAAAGTGTTTTCCTCCTTTTTGTTCACACGTGTAACATTTCAAGTTTAGACTGCTCTGCATTTTACGCTGAAGGAATTAACAATCTGAGGAGTTCTCAGTAGAGGTGACAAAGAAAAGGGGAGCTTTTCTGTGTGCACATTTCCAACACATAGTTTTCGTGGGAGTTAATTATGAATAAGCTTTTAAGTAATATTTTCTTTCCATTATCAAGCAATCAAGGCCTTTAAAATGTGAAATTAAGGAGTTTGTGCTTAGGAGTTAATTCAGTGGCAGAAGATAAAAAAATTTCCTCCTCTAATGAACTATTCCAATCCCATGCCAAGGCTGGAACAGTAGAAGCTAATTATAATTTCATTTGATGTTTTAAAATTATTCAATATTAAAAGTTTTATTAGGTCTTCCTGTACCCATTTGAACATCCCTTTCTTTCAGGCAGAAATTTTCCAACCAGGCAGCTGCTCGCTCAAGATGCCTGAACTCATTTGGACTCCAGTATTTGTGCACCTCTAGTTTACTGTGTGATGATACAAACAGCTGGCAAAGAACAGCGTGGCAAGGGCTAGGAACAAAGGCAGATGGGTTATTAGAAGTTGAGATAAAGGAGAATATTCCTTGAAAAACTTTTCAGCAGTGGACACCAATCAGAAAATCCCCTGAAAACTCTTAACAGAAAAAAAAAAATAGGATTTTCTATACAAATGATGATTATACCCCAAACCTGATGGACTGGTCCCACTGCTACTCTTAAGTGGCCATTTGTCTTCTCCAGGTATTTTCCTAGTGAAAGTGGTGGCCAAGAATGCCTTCTCAAACATGAGTCTGGATCTTGGATTCATCACTGTGTTGGCAAACTCTTCCCATAAAAGAGGTAATTGCAATAATCTGACAGTGCTGGTTTTGAGGACACTTTTTGCAATCAGAGCCCTTAATGGAATATTTATAGTTTGCATCCAGTAATTGCTTTCCCTCCAGCAACAGTGCTGAAAAATTTTGTGGAGGCTTCTTCCTGATGAAGGCAGATTCCCTGACTTTGAAGTAGTCGTAAATTAGCATCACCCTGCATATGCTACACACTGCACATTTGCTGTTTGTCCTAGAAGTGATTAGTGGAGTTTATGGCTCGGGACACAGCTTTGAAACCAGAAAGTCTTTGCATCACTGCAGCCTCATAATTGCTGTCACTAAATGCTTGTAGATGGCTCGTCCTTACATTTACAAAGTCAGATTACACCAGGAATAAAGTAACCTTAGCTCTAATTGTACTGAAACTTTTCCAGTGCTCCCTCCCCCAATTTTTCTTCGTACATCAATGAAACTCCATCACCTTCTGTGAATGTATTTTGATTTACATTATGTGTGAAGAATCAGGATCATCTTCACAGCCTGTGATGAGCTTGTTGTCACAGTTTTACCTATTTAATTTGACTGTTTATCACAGCTTTAGAGTCTGACTCTTCCAGCCCTGTCTTTCACACTGTCAGTAGCCAAATCCTGTGCATTTAAGTCATATTCACTGAGGATGTCTGAAAGCTTTACAGGTAGCATGAAAATATTCTGCCTTTTTTTTTTTTTTTTTTTTTTTTTCATTAAACAGATTCTAAGGAAGAAGGCAGCTACAAAACAAATATCCCAAAGGCAAGTGTAAGTATTATTTAAGGATCTGTCTTTAAAGTTGAAATACATATAAATTTTTCTTAAGACACTGGAGAGAAGTATTCATGGCTTAGGAGATTAGGGACCAGGTGTTGTGTGCCCCAAATGGTTTAACACAAAATCTACACCAAAAGTCTTGAAGGAAAATGTGTTTGCAGGCATTCAATCTACAATTTATAAACAAAAGATTAGAGAAAATGAACTTTTCCCAGCCATTCAGTTTTTGGAAGTTGAAATTTGTTTGGATTAATTTTTAATTAATCTACTTGGATATTGCAAACCTCTCTCTGAAGGGTGATTCTTTGAGCAGAATTTAATATATTTTTATATTGTTTCCAAGTGTTTTCCACTTCTATATTGGAATGTATAAATTACTTTGCAATGAAAAAAACCCCAAAACTAAGAAAGTTAAGGATAACTAAGAAGTTAAGGATACATCAGTTGCTAGCAGCTGTCCAAATTTAAAGAATAAAAAACGCCAGATAGAATATTTTATCATCTTAGGGGTCTGGTTTGTAACTGTAACACCAGCAGACAGACATCTGCTACAGGAGATATGATGCTTCACAAGAAGGCAGTGTGCTTTACAGCATTCCTATAGGAATATCTTGCACCAGAGGAATATAAATTGAATTCAAAGCCAAGTTTATTACAGTTTGTTGCACAGAAAGACAAACTCAGCTACCTCTCTTTATCTACAGCTGTCGTGTCCAGGGACAGACCATTTAAACTGCACATCTGCATCCAGTCATTTGGGGGGCTAAACTTTCAGATCTTTTTCATTTCAAAGAAGCAAGATTTGTGTGTGTCTATACACACTCCTGTCCTAACTGATGCATTTATTATTATTATTTAGGATCACAAAAGAGAAGCCAAAATCTATGTTAGACCGAGTCGCCACGTGGATCCTTTCACAACTGTTACACTTGGCTGGCCAGACAACACCAGGAATTCCAGTTTTCTCTGGTCCTGTGGTATGGGAATTTCCTGGACTTTTTTCACCATTATTTTGATGAATAACAAACTCACTGTCGTGTCAGGTCACGTGGTGAAAATCTGACTAAAGGATGTTTTGTTCTCTGGCTTTAAAGTTTGCCACTCACTGTACATGAAGGATGTCCTTCCACCTTACCCTGGTGCTAACGCCAAGCTAATCATGGGATATAATGTGGCACAATACTCAGCTTTGCCTTCTCCCAAAGGTTTCAATTTAAACATGATGCAGAAAGATTTCTGGCTGAAAATTGGATTCAGGACATCTGTGTTCTGTCCCCATAATCATCCTTCACCTCATACATTGCTTTGAAGAAGTCAGCCAATACTCTGAACCCAGATTACCAACTCTTTAAACTGGGCTCAGGAAACCTTTTGCTCTACAAAGCTCTTTAAAAGCTATGGCAGGAAAATCCTTTATAAGGCATTATTCTAATTATAAAGGAAATGTTTGTGCAGGAGCTTGCTGGCCTGCATGGAATGAATGCGTGCTGCAACAGATCATCCTAACCAACCAATCTGAGGTGCAAATCCCACCTTCCTGCCTTCCTCCTCCGAAATCAGCAGTGACTGTCAGGATTACAGTCCAAACCCACGGCGGTGAAGAGAGGCAGGACGAGCAGTGTCTCTACGTGACTGCAAAACAAGAACTGCAGCTGCAAATCAGGTCTGTTTTTAACCCCCAGTATTCACTGGTTAATGTTGTCACTGCACAAATATAGAGCAAGGCCACAGTTACCAATAATAGTGATAATAAAGTGATGATGCACCTATAGAATCATAGAATCACAGAATGGTTGGGGTTGATAAGGACTTTAGAGATCATCTTGTTCCACCTCTCTGCCATGGGCAGGGACACCTTCCACTAGCCCAGGTTGCTCCAAGCCCCATCCAACCTGGCCTTGGACACTTCCAGGGATGGGGCAACCACAGCTTCTCTGGGCAACCTGTGCCAGGGCCTGCCCACCCTTATAGTAAAGAAAACTTATTGTTGTAAATCCATTTACAGCTGTAAAAACACCATCTTGCTGCGTTTTCCAGCCCACATTTCTGAACATAATCCTTTGATTAACTGAGTAATATTCTTCCCAAAACGCTTTGACCTCACTACATCCTTTCAATGTTGGAGATTTCCATATGCAAACCTCATTGAAACTGTGGGAATAAATGTCATAAGATATGTCTGAAATTGCTACTAGAAATCTCACACAGTTACTGTGTAATTCCTTACAGGTGTGAGGCAAACTGCAAACCAGTGAATGTTAGTGAGGAAGTTGTTTTGAGTGTCTCTGGACAGAAGGACTCCCAGGCCATACAATATAACTGGTATTTGGATAACACATCCCAAACCAAGGTGAGAGCACCAGATTTGTCAGAAACACTGCACACACGAAGATAAATGTCCACCCCGAGGGAAAACCACAGGGGGATACTTGGCCAAGTGGACACTTTAAAAATACGAGTGAAGATTGAGACAAGGGGGTGCCTGCTTTGGGAAGGGTTATAATGAAAGGCACCAAACTGCCCCCCTGCTCCTGAGAAATCACAAGAGAAAGCACAGCAAAGAGTCTTTTTAGCTCTCCAGAAAACTGCCACGTTTTCTCTTCTCTCTGATTTTCCAGTCTACAGCCCTCCCTCTGGCCTGTGGCCTGACTGGTTTCCGGCAGAACTCTGAATTTGCTTCAAAGCAACACATCCGTGTTGAGAATGAACAGCTCCTTCTTGCAGACTCAGGGAGAAGCTTTTCAGATTAAAGTAACAGGTAGGGGCAAGCAGGGTTTTAGGGCTTTTCAGACTCCTTGGAGATAATTCTCTGCCGTCATGGCATCACACTGACGTGGAAAGTTGTCACTTTATATGTGAGTTCTTTAAAACAATGAAGAGAGAAGTGTTTTCTTGGCTGTTGCACGGCAGGACAGATTCAGTTGTCTTGCTCCGAGCTGCCCATAACTTTGTTCGGTCCCATCCAAAATGAAGCTTTGCTAACTCTTGATCAAATAACACAGCTTTGCTCTCTAACGCAAAAATTATCATATTTTTAATAGTTCTTTACCTCTTACGGTTTATTCAGTAGCAAGATTTCATTTCTAATTAGCCCCAGCCTGATGTCTGTGGTGCCCGAGGGAGCAGCAGCGTTTCTAGGTGGGCACGGTGAGTGCCCGGAGCTCGGTGCTGCTGGGCACGATTATTGCCGACGTTGTGCTGGTTCCACCTCTCCCAGCAGTGACTCAGCGCCGCTACGGGGAGGGGCTGTACCTTGTCAGCACCGTGTCCCCGCCCGCCATCCCCGCCTGTGCCGTGTCACCCGAGCGGGGAGCCGTGCTCTCCACCTTCAGAGTCTCCTGCAGCGCTCCCGGCGTGGTGGATCCCTCCCAGAGCGGTCCCAACAGGCAGCTCACCTACTGCTTCTATCTGAAACCGAGTGAGTCCCCAGGGGAACTGCGGAAACTCTAGGCAGGAGGTGTCTGCCTGGTGTCTGCTAGGTCAGCCCCTCTTTCCTCTTTCAGATTCTCTCCTGGACTGCAGCCCAGATCCTGAACTCTTCCCAGTCTATCTTCCACTTGGAGAAGAGGAGAATAACTTTACTGTACATCTGACAATTACTGTTAGCAACAGCTTTGGTGACACGGTTCAAACAAACGCTTCAGTGAAGGTACATGGTAGAATGACTTTATTTCAAGGACTCTCAAGTTGATACCTAACCCATGATTCACTTTTGGAGCTTGTTCCTATTTTTGACATATCACTTCCTTCTGAATGTGCCATAATCACCATTTTCCCATCTAACAAAGGCTATTCTCTGTGTGCCCAAGGTAGTCAAAAGTATCTTCCACTGTCCTTTTTCTAGGACAGAAGTTTAAAAGATGATCTGTTTGGACATTGAGCAGCACCAGATGTATTTAGTGAGTCTGGAGTTACTCTGCCCCAAAAAACTCCTGCTCCTTCCCCAGTGCCCCAGTTAAGAAGATCCTTATCAGGCCATTAAAAATAAAACATTTAAAACAGGGAATATGAGGTTTTATGTCCCACTGTAGCGAGGCTGTCATTAAGACGATCCTGGAAGCTGCTCAAAGGTCATTCTAACAGTGCTGGCAATGCTGAGAGCATATCTCATTTCTCCATCAGGTTGGACCTGCAGATGGGATGGATGGGAACCTGACCCTGCAGGGCATGGTGTCTGAGAAGGCAAACACCATCCTGAGAGATGGGAACAGCAGCATGAGCCTTTTCCAGCTGTACAAATCAGTGACATCTGTCCTTAACCAGCAGAGCCAAGAGGAAAGCTTTAACACGTCTTTACAGACAAACACACGAAAAGAGGTAAGCCAGACTCTTGTTTTGTTGCAGTACAGTGTCATATAATGGACTCTTCATAGTTTTTGACAACTCCTCAGCAATAAAAAGCTCACATATCACCACCTGAAATCAATGGAGGTTTCAAGTTTCTAGCATCTGTCTCAGTGTTTGGCACAGGTTTCAGCTATTTTCACTGTTTGCCTACATAAATAATTTGTCTTACCCCCCACCAGTAAAACAATTAATTCTCAATTGTTATTGCATTAATTTAAAGTAGTTAATTTAAACCCAGTTTTCCACAAACCATTTAAATATCGTTAAAGTGGCCTCTCCTGTGGGATAAATACCCTATCTAATTTTCCCCCAAAGCACTAGATGGCAGGTAATTTTCTCTTGCCCATTTCAGCTACCAGTCGATGTTTTCAGTTATAAGCTGATATTTGTACAGGGCTTTGAGTGCCTCAGATGAAAAGATCTACAGAAACGCAATGTATCCTTCAATTATGATTCATTATTTGAATAACATCAATCACACACAGCTCTGCTTTCTCTGGAAGTGGCATTTACACAGTAATTCACACACATTAGTACAAATTCTCACAAGTAACTCTCCGTGCTCTTAATGGATGTGAAGTGTATGAATTCTGTGTGCTGGGAGGTAACATAAAACTCATGATTATACAATTATTAAGGCAAGTGGCATCTTGTCACTGGGCCTAATATGATCCTTGTTGGGGAGTCTTACTCTCCTTCATAATTTACAGCAAGCCTGGCTGTCAATATACAGCACTACTTGCAGAGTCCTAATTAGCATCTTGTTCCTTTGCCTAATTATCCCTTTTCATCCCAAGCTCCGAGGGCTGATGCTGACAACTCTCTCTGCTGTTAATGTAACATCAGTGCAGGCTGCTCTTAAGATGTCAGAGGTGTTGAAAGAAATCACTTACAGGAGTGAGGAGCTGTCTGTCTCAGCACAGGTAAGACCCAATTCACCTTCCATCTCCTCACACCAACAGTGGGGACTCTACTGCATCCCACTGACCCTGGAAGAGTTTCAGTGCCTTACAGTTATCTGTTCTTACCCCTGTTTTCAACTCCACCAGAATGTCTATTTAGACCAGGAGGGAATACATTTTGCTGTTTAGAGTAAGTAAATTCCCCTCTCAGATATTGTCTCAACAACTTCTGCAGTCCAGGCTATGACCATTACATTTATCATACATTTTATAAATAAAAGCCTTAACTTTTAGTCAGAAACATTTAGGATGTAAGCACTTTTAGAACCCTGAAGAAAAACTGTCCAGGAGGGTTTTTTTTTTTTTTTTTCTAGCATTTCCCACATTCACTTGTCCCTGATCCAGGCACTGCCCAAAATGCACACAGGCAACCTGTCAGTGAGGCAGGAACGTGGCAGCACCCAGAGCAACTGGGCACAAACGTGCAGATGGGTCTCACAAAAAGTATCTCTTGAATCTTATCTGGCAACATGACATTATCAGTAGATGATGCTATTTATGCTCAAGGTGTGAACAAACTGTCACTGGGGAAGTTTCCCAAACATGCAGGCAATAAAAAGAGCTCTCCTGATTCCTGCTCTAGTGTAGGGTTGGGAGCATTTCAGCACTATGTGGTTGACTTTGGCAAGACAGGAGCAGAGCTCAGGTTCAGCCCTCACCCTCCAGTAAGGCTGCCTGGAGTTTGCAGGTTGTGGGAATGGATGTGTCCAAGCTTGCAGTGAATTTGCCTGGCTCCCTCACCACCCTGGGCTAAAAGCTGCCCAGTGCTTTCCCAATCCCAAAGCAATCCCTGGCTGCGTTCAGGCACAAAATAAGAATTGTACAACTCCTTCTGCTTTGGCACCTGGCACAAAGCCAAGGGTACCACTTGCTGGCAACTCAGTAGGGTTTGTGGGAACTAAGATTGCTTGGCAATATGGTGGTATTTTTTAGGCAGACCACCCAAAAGTATAACCTAATTTTCTACATTGCTGTACGTCCTAACAGTGCCCTTCCCCAGTCTTTGACAGACAAGCTTCCTTCAGATTGGTTTTACAGATGAAATCTGTAGAAACAGGCTGCATTGCTCAGGGCTGTATTTCATTTGAGTATAGCACCTAGTATATAATCTTTATTAGCATTTCAGGCATTACCCCAGCACAAATAATTATAGTAAAACCAGCGTTAGCCACTAACAGTGCCATGAGATCACTGCTGTTGCAATGTTCAGTAAATGACACCAGTGCCAGCACTGTCAGCTGTGGTACCAGCACATCTGAACTGCTCCCTGTGTTTTTCCTGCAGGTGGAAGCCAGCAACACTCTGAAAGATGTCAGTGCTTCCCTGCTGGCTGTGAACCCTGAGGACAGCAGAGATGACGAGAACTTAAAGGAAGCAGCCAACCACCTGTTTAATGCAGTGAGCAACGTCCTTAAAGCTTCTGCAGAAATCAGAGCTGTGAACTCTTCAGTGCCAGAGGCAGACCAGGTAACTTTGGTTTGGCCCAGTTTGTCCTGGACTGTGGGTAAAAATCTGTTTGCTGTGGAGAGGAGCTCTGCTGCCTCTTGTGTTTTTAGACTGGCACTGGGAAGGGTTCACTGGGACACCATGAGGAAACTTCTCCCCAGGTAGATCTGTTAGACTGAACATTTGCTAATGAAGCCTCTTAAGATTTGTAACATTTAAATCTGGACAGGACAGGGCAGTGCAGCACCAGTGTATGCAATGGTGCTAATTGTCTAATGGATGACAAGCACGTGAAGATGTTTTTTCACCTTTGGTTCTATCCCCTCCCTTTGCCCCTTAACTCAAGGAAGCCACAGGTATTCAATATTCATGATTGCCACCACTGCAATCAGCTCTGGGTCCTGCTTTCACTTTTTCAGAAAGCCCACTCTGATGCAACATGTTTATTTTGTCCTACCCTTTCCTGTGTAGATGTGAATTGATCTGAGTGCTTCGTGGGCTGCACATACTGTAATTTCATCCCTGTGAGGGAATAGGGCATGAAATAAATCTAACCTGAGAGAAACTGGTCAAGCTCCCCCAAGATAACACACAACTAACACCCAACTGATATGTAATTAGGTCTTGCTTTTCCAAGTAACTAAACACTAAAATGTGCACCTAGAGGGTTTTCATGCACAGAAGTGCATGGATGCTTTGATTGATGCCATGTTTGTAGTGCTTCAAACTTCAATGTGTAGAAAGTTATAAAAAATAAAATATAAAAGTAAAATCTGTAAGACATTTATTTGCTGTCTGCAGTGTTTCAACTGAGAAACTGAATTGCTGATAGAATAGCTTTTCCTGCGATTAAGATGATGTGCAGCCTGATGATTCCCTGTTCCTTTGTTGCAAGTTTCCTGCTCTAATCCTTTCCCAGATTTCGGTGTCACACCAGCTCCTGAGTACAGTGGAAAATCTCCAGAGTGCCCTCCTGTTTGGGAAAGCCCCGGATGGTGAACCCACAGTGCTCACCACTCCTTCTGCCACAATGTACATGCACAGGTAACACCTGCAGTGTCTCCCCCCAAGGCTGCTGAGAGTTAATCGAATTTGCTCCAAATATTAATTCCACTGTGTTTAAATTGAACGACCCAACTAAATATTGCAGCGTAATGACAACTTCAGTAGTGCAGTGAGGCGTCATTACTACCTGATAGTAAGAACAGTTTGGGTTCCAGTAACATCCCCTTAGGATTTCTCATGGTCTCCTTTGACCAGCAGAGAATTTACTCCTGTGTCCTGGGAGAGGCAGCAGTCACCTGTCTTTGAAATGATGTGGAGAACTCACATCGTGCCAGTTAAGGGTTTCTATTCTTTTCCAAGTTGCCAATAATGACATGTTATTTAGAACTGTAACCAACTGGGCAGAAGCAAATCCTGAGGAGCCTGACGAGCGTTCTCCATTCCCGATAATCATCCTTGAATTGTTCCCAAGAGCCTGGTTTTCATCCACCTCCCGCTGTGCATTCACACCAAGAGCATGTTCACACAGAAACCACGATTGTCTTTCCCAGAAGCACCTTGGGCACAACTTCCTATGCAGATGTGCCAATTCCCCCCCTTTCCTGATGATTCCATGGCAGTGTTATGTGCAGTGCTACGTCAGGGACAGATTATTGTACAAAGTATTTACTGGCAGAGTGAGAAAGAGTTTTGCAACTAAGTTATCCTTGTGAAGAGGGGAATCTTTTTCTCTAGTTATGAAGTCCATGTTATTGATGTTTGGCCTTTTTCTGCTGTGTTTTTTTTTTTTTTCTCCTTTATTTTCTATTTCTTTTCTTTTCCTATCTCTTTTTTATTCTGCTTTGTTGTGTCCAACCCTAACTGGACAGATTACAAACAGAAAACATGGATGGCACGTCCATTAACATCTCCAATTCCAGCTCTGCCAGCTTTACTCTCCCATCTGCTTCCTCTCTCAGTGTTTCAGGACTTGGTGATGAAACAGTGGACATAAGGGCAAGTAAACAGCTTTTATCTGATTCAGTCTGATATCCAACTTACATTCTTGATCTAATGGTTTTAGAATCTTTTCTCCTTTTACAATGAACACAGAAGCCATGACACACCCTCCTGTCATGACAATAAATTGAAGTATTTTTGCTTGAAGAAGTCTTCATTTATCTACAGTAGGTAGCATGTAGTTGTCATAATTTTATAATAAATTTTTAAAGGCCTCTCTCTGCTTGATTTGGCCCTCTCAGGAGAGCCTTAAAATACCTGCAATCATTTTTTTTTTCATTGCATCTTTTCCAACTCTGCTAAAAAGGGGTTACAGAGTATGGAAACAGTAAAGATTGTTGTACACATGTCACTCTTCAGAATCAAAATCACTTTCAAGGTTTGTGTTGACCCACCATAGGGATAAGGTAGATTCTTAGTTAAATCTGAATGCAGACAAATCTTCCTGAAAGTTGAGTCCTGTCTGGGTCTGAGCTCAACCTTTCACTCTTCAGCAATTTAGAGTATGAATATAATGAAATATTGACAAAATCTCGGTTGTCTGATTGTTCATGTTTTGCTAACAGATGGTGAGCTTTGCTGTGAATCCCTTTTTCTCCAGTGACACCAGCTTTGACATCAGTGGAACAGTGGGGGGTCTAAGTCTTACTGGTCTGGATGGCTTGGTCATACCAGTCAGCAACCTCAAAGAGAACATTGAAGTAAATCCACTATTTTCTATCCCTCTTTTTCCTTTCTCCATTAATGAACTGTCATTTGTGTTTCCCTCTTCTGTAAGGAGAAAACAAGTGCTGCAGTGTTGATTGCATTAGATAATGGGATGATGTCTGCATTTGTTATATGGGGATTTGTGTGACGTGATGAATGAAATAACAGATATTTCTGTCTTTTCTTAAAAAGGAGGCATCTTATCCTTCATTTAAATGGTTGTGAGAAAGAATGTTTTCAGAGGTTAGCTGACATCAGCAAGACAGTGACTTTGAAGCTGATATTTTTGCTGGCCACGCTTTGCTGATGTTGTGAACAAAGATAACGTAGCACGTGGCTGCATGGTAGGAGCAAAGTGCTTTGCTGTATTTAAACCTCTGCCTTTCTGTTTAAAAACAGATCATGTTACCGAGGCTTTCAGCAACTCAGGAAGATAAGATTCTGTTGAATCTGGGCAATTACAGCACTTTCCAAGTCAATGTTACCTCAGATAACACATCTGTAGTGATCCACCTGGAATCTGAACACGACATCCCACTAATCCTCTACCTGGGGTACGGTTATCGCCCAAATGAGACTAATTATGATATGAAAACCCATCTGTTCTCTAAGAAAGCTGCTGGAGGTAAGATAATGGTTAGTGACCCATGAACTCGCAGAGTGAGCCTTGACCATGAGTTCAGATGTGCAGCTGGAAAGAAACCTCTCACAGGAGTTTCAGTCTGTTGAGCTTCAGGGTCCCAACAGGAGCAAAGAGGGGGATGCTTTGAACAATGAGCTGCTGAGAATTATTTCATAGCTGTTTCTTTGGTTTATTTGTTATGTGCAAATCTCCATGCATTGAAACTAAAATGTTTGTCTTCAAGGTGAGACCAACACCTGGGTTCTCAGCCCAGCAGAACTCATTTTCGGAGAAGGGACCTACTATTTCACGGTTTTGCAAGATGTGGGAATGGATTCCGCAGTCCATGCCGGGCTAACCGTGGGTGTCACTTGCTTTGCATCCCGCTGTGTATTTTGGGATGAGCGCCAGGGGAGCTGGAACAGTCATGGATGTCGTGTAAGTAGAGCAAAACAAAACAATGTTCCTGTTACCCACTTCAAAGCCAGCCCTTATAAACCACCATCCTGTGGTAAAACGATAGCCCTGAACTCACACCTTAAAACAAGATCATTCTGAGATGTTTTAATAAACTGAAGAAGTTCAGTCTCAAATGACATTTCCATTTCTATTCCCTGGGATGAACTTCCAAGAAGAAATTAAAAAATTTTGACAAGGCCATATTATGTTATAATGCCTGTTACTGGCCACATATTAATGTTCCTCATTGGAATTTGAACTATTCTTTTGTGTACAGCAGTTCTCTGCACTAGCTCAACAATCTCAGCGCTGTCTTTTCATTTGCTTGGTAAGTCATCTAATACTTTAAAACCAAATGTTTTATCAAGATTTTTTGTGTGTGTGTGTTTCAGGTAGGGCCAAAAACAAATCCTAGAAGCACACAGTGCCTGTGCAACCACCTGACTTTCTTTGGGAGCTCCTTCCTCGTCATCCCCAATGCCATAGATGTCAGCAAAACTGCACAGCTCTTTGGCACATTTGTGGAAAATCCTGTGGTGGTGACAACTGTAGGATGCATCTTTCTGATATATGTGCTGGTGGTTATTTGGGCTCGAAGGAAAGACATCCAGGATGATGCCAAAGTAAGTCTTCAGCTAATAAAGACTGGATGTATTTAGGCCAATTCCCACCATGCCCAGGCTGGGTTAATAGGAAGTCTTTAACTTATCCCACTCCCTTCCCTGTAACTCTGTTTACTGATAAGTAAACATTGTTAGCAGGATGACAAATTCCTGCTCCCAGCTTTCAGGAACCCACACTTCCAGACCAGCTGACACGCTGCTTGTGTTGTGTTGCTCTGCAGGTGAAAATCACGGTCCTGGAAGACAATGACCCCTTTGCTCAGTACCGGTACCTGGTGACAGTTTTCACAGGACACCGCCGTGGGGCAGCCACAACCTCCAAGGTATCCATTGCACTGTGTGGAAAACAGTTTGTGCACCCACTCAGGGAACTGGATGAATAATGGAGTGCCTGAGGCTGGTAAACAGGACTGCTCAAACGCACTGTCTAAGCCAGAAAGTCCTTAGGTTTGATGGAAGCTGGAGGAGCATTCCAGAGGAATAATTGTACGTAGGACCGGGATGTGCAAGTCTTCATTTTGCCATCTTTTTTTTTCCAGGTGACTCTCACCCTCTATGGAGTGGAAGGAGAGAGTGAGCCCCACCATCTAACTGATCCTGATACACCTGTGTTTGAACGTGGAGGAGTGGATGTTTTCCTTCTCTGCACCTTCTTCCCTCTTGGGGAACTGCAGAGTATTAGACTGTGGCATGATAACTCAGGGGATAGTCCGTCCTGGTAAGTGGAGATCTGAAGGTTCCCCCTTTTTTCTTTATAACAAGAACAGTTTTCCTTTACTAGCACTTGAGAATTATCCTTCCTAACATTCCAGAAAGAAAAGAAGTGTTAGTTTCTCATTTTTGCAGGTGAAATCATAATTTAAACTGCACGACCAGAAGTGCTTCCCATATCTCATGTCCAGTACAGGATGGGATGTGTTCTGTGCCTTACGGTTTAGACACACCCTAAGAAGCCAAAGGCCATAGTTTGTCCTCCATAAGTGCTGTCCAGTTCTGAATTTCACACCACTCATTACATGTGATTGTGCCCTGTATGTTTTTCCAACAGGTATGTGAATCGAGTATTAGTCCATGATCTGGCATGGGATCAGAAATGGTACTTCCTCTGTAACTCCTGGCTAGCCATTGATATTGGAGAATGTGTCCTAGATAAAGTGTTCCCAGTAGCTACAGAACAGGACATGAAGCAGTTCAGGTACCTTTATTTTATGGACTTTTTTAATCTTGATAGCAATCGATCTAGAAAAGCAAGCATGGAAAAGGGAAACCAAAGCCTCAGACAAAAATGAAAACAAGGAATGTCTTTCCAGTGCTCTGAAAGGGCTCTGAACAAGGAAAGGAGGAAGGATACAGTAATACCACACTGGAAAGACTGGTGTTAAAGAAGGATAGCCTGACAAGACCTACAGAAACCCAAGCATCTTCTCTTATGTGTAATTTCCCTAACAATTTAAATAGAAACTGCTCATGATTCACTTTCCCCCATGGTGTGACCAAAAGGAAAGGACATAAGTAGCTATGACCATTCCATGCAAATGAAACCACAATATTTGGTAATTTCTCACCGTTATTATTCCTCCTGACAGTACCTACTACCATGATCAGGTCCTCTCTAAGCATCCCTTTGATTTCCCTCTCCTCCTTTCCCAGCAATCTGTTTTTCATGAAGACCTCCAGAGGTTTCCAGGACGGCCACATCTGGTACTCGGTTTTCAGCCGCTGCCCACGCAGCTCCTTCACGCGCGCCCAGCGTGTGTCGTGTTGCTTCTCGCTGCTCCTGTGCACCATGCTGACCAGCATCATGTTCTGGGGCGTGCCCAAGGACCCAGCCGAGCAGAAAATGGACCTGGGTAACAAACCTCACTGTTGCTTGGGCGGGGAAATAGAGAGGCAGCAGAACATAGAAGCAGAAATGTTGAACAAACGGGCTTTTTCACAAAGATGCCTCTGTTTGACCTTGACAGGTAAGATCGAGTTCACGTGGCAGGAAGTGATGATTGGCTTGGAGAGCTCCCTCCTCATGTTCCCCATCAACCTGCTCATTGTGCAGATCTTCAGGAACACGCGACCCCGGCCAGCCAAGCAGGGCACAGAGAAGAGGCCGGGGAAGAATGGCCGAGTGTCCCCAGGCGTACCCCCCACCCCAGAGGCCACCCAGGCCGCCTCACTCACTCCAGAGGCTGTGACAAAGGCAAGTCCCAGCGAGTCCTGCACTGCCCTCTGGTGCTTCGCGCTCCCGGCTTCCCTGGCTCCACAGCCCAAAGGTTCCCTGTCAGGTGCCCTTCAGCCTGTCTGAAGAGAAAAGCCAATTGCTGCGGGTGCAGAGCTCTCATTTGCCCACCTAAACGCAATCCCTGACTTTGTTAAGAGCTGCCTCTGTAGGTCCCAGCCCTTGCACAATTACTGTGTGCGACCAAATCACTGCGTTCGGGGGTAAAGCAAACACTGAGCGAGGCAGTGAAGATGAAAGGTATCACAGACCCCATCATCTTTCTCAGCTTAGGTCCCCAGGCAGGAAAGCTGTCCTTTTGAACCCTGAAAGCTCTCTTACTGAACTCACTGAAATCTGCTCCTCACACCCTGCACTGTAGCTTGTGCTATTCTTGTCCATTCCGGAGATTTTAGCAATTGGTGCAGCTCCCAGCCAGTGGTGCTGTCAGATCACATCAGCTTAAGCCACTGCAGCCAGAGTCACTGCTGTGTTGCTGCTGTCTTCCTTAGGACATAAGGAGAATTGCCAACTCACTCTTTAAAGCCCTGAAGACTCCACCTCTCACCTCAGCATCAGATCTTGGAAAAGCAACAAACATCAACACCCTTCTGTCGTTGGTTGAGGATGTCATCTGCCAGCAGAACAGAGCTGGGCAAGGGTTTTACGACAGCAGCAAGAAGGATGGCCCTGTAATCATCACTTTAGGTTCTGTGGATATGCGAGGTACACAACACACTGTGAAATGCCCTCTAAAGCCTCTGCAGTGAAAATGATGACAGCACTGGATGTGATGACCCAAGCTTTTCTCACATTCTGATTCAGAGGCAATTCCAGAATTACAGAGCAGCTGAGGTTAGAGGGGATCTCTGGATCCCACCACTCTGCTCACAGCAGGGTCAGCTGGGGAAGGATTGCCCAAGATCAAAGCCAGTCAGAGTTTGAATGTCTCCAAGGGTGGAGATTCAACAAATTCTCTGATCTTCAGTTAAACGAGGATGTGTGAGTAAACAATCTCACGGATTTCACTGAGACCTACATTTTGGCTTTTCCAATGAGTCTACCAAGCTACTAATTGCACAGGGAAACTATGAACAAATTAACAGTTGATCTGATCTGACTTCTCTATTAAGGTTTTGGGACCTGTTTAACTAAGTTTCCCTCTGGCGACAATTCCAGCAGAAGCGTATTAAGCTCCAGTACTAAAGCTGGTTTTACACATCCCTTTAAATGTTACTCTTCACTTTGTCACATTCATAATCTTTAGCTCCAGTCCTACTCCCCTTTGTAGCGAAGAGTATTTTAATCTAGGCATAGTTTTTCTCCAGAAGTAAATAAATAATTCTTCCCCTGCAGAAAAAACAAGAAGCCCAACTCCAGAGAGGAGAATCTGTGAGCGACCGAAACACGGTGATTACAATCGCTGCTTGTATACACAACTCCAGCAGGTGGAGATGGAGCTGGAGTTACTGGGCCCCCATAAATTCCAGCTGCCTCAGAGCTACACCCAAGCTGTTCATCAGGTTCAGCACATGAAGAGCCTCCTGGAGCAGCGAATGTGCTCGTCAGCGCCCATCAGTGAGGGGTAACCTCATTCTCATCTCACTCTCAGGATAAGTAAATTCAGGTCATGAATTCAAAACTGGTCAAGATGACAGAGCCCAAATAATTACTGCTTAATGTGTGCTAGATGACTATTATTACAGCTGTAAAAATAAGTCTTACTATTATGCCATTGTAGAAAAGAAATCTCCACGCACTGTGAACTGCACACAAAGGCAATAATGACAGATCATTGCTCTTTGTCATTTTTGCCTCCCAAATGGAAAGTTACAACACAATGCCACATGATAGTAAAGGGCTGGGATAATCACCAAGCTCCAAAAGTCACTGAAGTCTCTTAAAATGCATGGATAAAGAAAAATTATTAAGGAGACAAAAATAGTGCAGTGAAATATGATAATTAAATTGGGAGGATCGAAAACAAATGCACTAATTATCTCTCTGGCCTTCATGGTGATCACAAGAGACACATCCAGCAGCTTAAATACACTCATGGTTTTCTCTGTCAATGGTTCTACTGGAGGTTCAATTATGCATAAACTGAGGAGTAAATAAGGCCATCGTATTTATTTTGATTTTAGCTGATCTCTGCACACTTCCTCACATTTTTGCTCACTGAACTTTTGGCTATCCATATATCCCACATAACTGCATTAGTTAAAAGAACTCAGAATATCTTGATTGAGATTTTAAATCGTAAGATGTTGCCTGTTCCCAGTGACCTCGATGGCTGTGATTTTGGTCCCTGTTCCACTGCTATTTTCTCTTCTGTTTGACTCTCAAGGTGGTCCCTTAGTCCAGACTTCCCTGGTGATGACAAGAAGAGTGTTTCTTCCAAAGGGCTGCCCTGGTGGTTTGTGTTCATTGGGTGGTTCCTGGTGGCAGCCACCAGTGGTGTGTCTGGGTTCTTCACCATGCTCTATGGGCTGCACTACGGCAAGGACAACTCCATCAAGTGGCTGATCTCCATGCTCATCTCCTTCTTGGAAAGCCTTTTCATCACCCAGCCCTTAAAGGTGAGATCCTTGGAAAAACAACCACTGGCCAAGGTAAACTCCCCTCCTACCACTGCAGGAAGACAGTTTAGCATGTCCTAAAGAACCACAGGATCTGAGAGAGGAAATGAGAGGCCTTTGCCCTTAACACAAGAGCTGGCAGGTGGTTTGCAGAGTTTCATCTCCATTTTTTTGTCAGGGTTTAACAGGAGATGAGGTTCCTGACCAGGGAAGATGTGTCACCGTGCACTGTTCTCTTGTTTAAGGACTTCAGCTGCATCACTTCAGCAGTCAGAGAGCAGTTGCTCTCTGCAGTGCCTGGATCCAGAGGGATCAGTGGCCTGCACATCTTCATATGAAATGGGCATGGTGAGTTATAGCTGATTCTTTCCAGGTGCTGGGATTTGCTGCTTTTTTTGCTCTGGTTCTGAAGAAGGTGGAACATGAGGATGTAGAAAACCCGGCTATTGATGGGCCTTTATCTGCACCAGGTAAGTGCTGGTAAAGTGAGACATTAATAAAGAAAGTGCAGCATTCTCAAGGTTTTGGAGGGCTTTATGCATAAATGTGTGACCCAGCTCAGCTGAGAACTTCACTGGTTATCTTTACAGACCTGAATCTTAGCTGACAATGTTAGCAGAAATCACGAAATCCACGGGCATTGTGACTACCTGCCTATCCATTAGCATTCCCAAGATCAAGCAGAAGTGAAAACAAACCTAAATAACTGATTTTGCGTCAGTTGCAGAAAAAAATAAAGAGTACTGAATGTGTAGGTTGGATAAATCCTGCAGAACTGTTTCCTGGAAAAGCAGTAAATAGCAATGTCCTTTGAATGTCCAAAGAACCACAAAGCAGGACGTGGATGATCTGTGTACTAATCCCAGGGTTTACTGCTCTCCTACACAGGTGATTCACACCCTCTCTTAGGAGCCCGAAGGGACAGTAGAAGCAACATTTACCAGCCACCTCCCGCAGCTGATGTGGAGAGAATGAAAATCAGCTGCATGAAGGAGCAGAAAGCATTTGCCCTCATCCGAGAAATCCTGGGTATCCATACATGGATTATCTTGCTTTATTCAGTAGTACATCAGTACTTTGACAGCAGTGAAAATATTGTTCTCTTGGGTGACAAAGTTTTGGCAGATCTTCAGCTTTCTGCCAGCCACTGTGATGTGGAGACAGGCTGTTCTGTGGCAGCTGGAGCTGCAAGGAGGTGGGAGTATTGGCTGGAGGTAAAAGTGTGGCTAAGTCTCGATTTCTTATGGTAAAGAAACACGTCACAGACACGTGAGAGGCTAAAATAAAAATAGGAGAGATAGAATGAGGAGATCAACAGTTAAATGAAGCTGAAGGTAAAGAGCAGATGAGGGACATCTTTCTAAAAGCAGTGATATCTTTAGTAATGATTTATACTCCTGTTTTATTTCCTCTGAAATCAATGGCAAAAAAATACCTCAGCCTCACTGGGAACAAAGGCAGACTGCTCATGTTATCCTGAGCTGCCATGACTGCTGCTGTTCAGCCTTCCCACTTGTTGTCTTGACTGCTGCTCCCATTCCAAGTGTGAAACAGTTAAAGTGCAGCAGCTTCTGCACATTCACTAGCACTGGTCACTCAGAGCCTACAGAGCCCTTCTTGGCCTGGTAGGTGCTGACAGCAGTGATCATTCCTGCAGTGCAGTTTCAACAGCATTGTTAATTCAGATCTCACCTGTGCTGTCTCTCCCTGTTTTTTTCCCAGCCTATGTTGGGTTTTTGTGGATGCTGTTACTGGTTGCCTACGGGCAGAGAGACCCCAACTCCTACTATTTGAACAAGCACATTGAGGACAGCTTTACAGCTGGATTCCACCGTGTCTGCAGTTACCAGGATTTCTTCACCTGGGCAAACACCACCTTACTCAAAAACCTTTATGGATCATATAAAGGTGCAGACTCACATTGTTTCCCTTCAGCTTGCCAGGTTCTGAAACATAATCTATTATACATATCCCTAACTTTAACAGGCATGTTTATGAGTGGAGAAAGAGATGTGAGAGTACAAGGCTAGCATGGATTCTTATAATATGAATACTAGTGGATAACAAACCCCCCCCAGCTTGATCACACGTCAAATGTGCCCTGATATTTTCCTTGTATTTCATATAAACCAAAAGTTCTGCACTGTAATGCTGCATTTTTCACATTTTACATTAGGTACTGCAGATATTCAGATACATCCCTCAGTTCTACACAAGCTTCTTTCCATAACCCAGAAAAGAGAATGGCAGACAGGTGGCACCATAAAGCTTTTCTCAGGAGGGTTTTTTGCATCAGGGCTCGGGTCAGTGAGAAGGCAAATTACGCAATATCACCGTGTTTTCTCTATGTAGCCACATGCAGAAGGATCTGACCCATTTTCCAGCTCACATTTAAGGGTAAATACTGAAATACATCAGCAGAGTTGTTCTTTGGACACGACAGGCCACACAAACGCTACATAAAGCTACTCTGCTGTGGGAGTCAAAGTGAGTCACTTTTCTCCCCCAGGCCTCATTTTCCTTCTGTATAAAATACAGATGGGTAGTGACTCTGAACTCTGGTTTTATGAATGTTATTTAAGAACTCAGTTCCAATCAACATGAAGTATTTTGCTTCTGGTGTTTCTGAGAAAAGAATACAGAGCAAAATATTAATGCATCAGTGAATCAGAAATGAAATGAAGAAATATTATGAGCTCTGTCATGTTGCCAGTGCTGCTCTTTTCCATCTCCTGTTCAGGATTCATCACGGATGGCAATTCCAAGCTGGTGGGCAGTGCTCGAATCCGCCAAGTAAGAGTGAAGGGAGACACCTGCCCTATTTCTCCCAGACTCCAGCATGTGGTTGAGCAGTGCCATGCTCCCTACTCCCTACACACAGAAGATACATCAGTTTATGGGGAACACTGGAATACTTCAGCCTTTGATAACTCCTCTGACCTGAGCTCAGCGTGGCAGTATCAGAGCCAGTCCAAACTGAGAGGGCAGCCCAGCTGGGGTAAACTGGCCATCTACAGTGGAGGGGGATACGTGATTCACCTGGGAACAGATCCTGGGAATGCCTCCAGGTACCACTTGTATTCCTGGAAGTTATCAGTGTATCCTCCCTGTGACACTGCCTCTGCCCTGTACGAGTTGGATCACTGGCTTTACATTTTTTTTGGCAGAATTCTCCAGTACCTTTTCGACAATGTCTGGCTGGACACCTTCACCAGAGCAGTGTTTGTTGAATTCACAGTCTACAATGCCAACGTGAACCTGTTCTGCATCATAAGCCTGATGTTTGAGAGCAATGCTTTAGGTGAGAACCTTTCCTGAGTCACTCATTTCCGAAGACAGCAAGCAGTGCACCTACAGAAGGTAGATTTACATGCTGTCAGTGTTTTCCTAGTTCTTTATTCAGTAAACAGAAGGGTTTTAATAAATCTAACCATGACAGAATCAATGCAAACTTTATAAATCATTTAGGAGAAATGCAGCAACACTGTAATACTGACCAAAATGGAATATTTTATGTTTGCTTATGTTGTGGTCATCTGCTGATGAAGAAAACATGGCACTGAAACTTAACCTCCAGAATTTATCCAAGAACAAATTATGTTTCCTAATCTCTTCAGCTAATCAATACAATATTAAGACAAAAAGTACAAATAACAGTCTGTCTTTTTTGTTCCAGATGATTTCCAGTATTTTGCTGGGTAGTCATATAATGCATAACCTGGATAATGAAGAGAATAGTGAAACCATAATCTGGTTTAAAGGCCATAACAACACATTTGGTCAGGGAGGAGCCTCCCTCAGGTCTGGCCTGGTACTGGAAAATGGCCAAACTGACTGCAAAACTGAGCTCGTGTTCCCTTTAGAATGAGACTCAGCTTTACATCTCCAAGTCCTCCTACAATCCTGCATTTGCAGTGCCATCCAAACTCAGGCCTGCTGGGATTAGAGTTGTGCTGTGACACGAGACAGCACCAGAGCTCTGAAAGCCATCGAGTGTGTGAAATGCCTGTTTGAGGAAAATGCCAAAGAACACTGACAGGGTTACTCACAGAATCAAGTCTAAATCTCAGTTTGATAGTTGGAGTCAGGCTCATGTTGATGTGAAAGCAAGCACAGCAGTCTGACTGGTGAACTGAGGTGCTGGAATGAAAACAGAGGTGTGACTGTCAGAGCCCTGTTTGTGTTTTAGGGGCCTTCTTCACAAGTGCAGAGCTGCAGAGTGTCCGGCTTTACCCCTACACCAACAGCCTCCACCTCTTTGTGGTTGCAGCAGAAGTGATTTATTTCCTCTTTATTGTGTACTACATGATAGTGCAGGTGAGGTCAATGGAAAATTCACCATCACCTTGTGTCTGGGGTGAACTTCACTTACAAAAACTTTGTTACTGTACTTGGTTTCAGAAGCACTGCTGTTGCTACACCAGTGGAAGTTTGACTCACATACAGTATCAGTATAAAACAATGGGAAGGCAACACTTTATTTGGCTGGAATGCTTCTTTTGAGAAAGATAATGAGAAATTAGTGCAAGCTGTAGTGTTACTGATGCACAGTAATCTGCTTTATTGCAGAGGGGATTGCCCTAATCTTTAGAGGTATTGCATGATCTGGAGTTCATGAGACTGAGACAGTGAAACTCCTCTTTTCACAGGGAAAACTGATGAAGAGTCTGAGATGGAGATATTTCCAGAGCAAGTGGAATCTCCTGGAGATGGCCATTATACTGATTAGCTGGAGTGCTCTGTCGGTGTTTGTGAAGAGGACAATCCTTGGGACCCGAGACATCAGTTACTACCAGGAACACAAAGAGAAGTAAGTCCTAATGCTATTTAGTGCATCCTTTGTTGTTGCTACTTATGCAAAAATAAATCTATTTTTCCCCTTCCCAGGCAGCAGCTCGCCTGTGCTAAATACTGCTCTCCTATATGGGTACATTCATGAAGCCTGTAAGTGTTTCAGGGCTTAGATCTGTGTCAGCAATAGGATTTTCTTCTGACACCACTCTAATAAAATCCTGCAGACTCGAGCACTAAGTTTCCCTTTCTAGCTGCTGATTTCCTGTCTGCATCAACCTCTTGTGAACCAACAAGCCTTTCTGCTATGGGACATCCACCCAGAAAGTACATAGTCTGCTTTGGTTTTTGTTGTAAAAAACCAGTGGTTAGGGGACAATAAAGGCTTATTTAGTACAGAATGGAAGATTATAACATCTGTTAAAATACAGTCACGCAGGAAAGAAATTACAGGATCAGAGGATAATTTAGGGAGGTAAGAACCTCCGAAGGCTTCTGTTCCAACCCCTTCTTTTGGTGTTAGATCTGGTTGCTCAGGGTCTTGTTTGGTTGAGTTTTGAGTATCCCCAAGGACAGAGGTTCCATAGCCTCCCTGGAGCCCTGGCCCAGTGCTGAACTGCTCTCATTGTAGAGAAAAAAAAACCCTGTTTCTTCCATGTCCAGCTGCAATTCCTCTTGCTGCAGCTGGTGGCTATTGTCTCTTGTCATTTCACTGTGCACCTCCAGGAGGTGTTTCACTACCCCCTCTCCACAACCACTGACCATACAGCTGGAGACAGCAGTTGGAGGCCTCCTTAGCTTTCTTTGCTCCAGACTGAACAAACCAAGCTCCCCCACCCTTCTCTCCTGTGCCCCCACTCCCACCCATCTCAGTGGCCCTTCCCTGGACTCGATGACTCCTGGCACTGGGGAGCCCCAAACTGGGCTCAGGATCCCAGCTGCAGCCTCACATATGCTGAGAGAGCAGAAAGAACAAGCACTTCTTTAACCTGACAGCTCCATTCTTGCTATTGCAGCACTCCTGTGTCACCCAGGAATATGTCACGAGCTCTATTTGTGCACACCATTTTTAAAAGCTGCATTAGCTGCCTTTAAACTGTGACTTGCTAAAAATAAGCAGCATTTGGGCTACAGCCCAGACCCTCTCTCACTAAAAAAAAAACCCAAACCTCTGCCCTGCACAACTGAGCTTTTTGTGTGCACACAGCAGGAAGTACAGGTGGGAAGACTCCAGCAGGAACTCATTAGGTCTCCAGTGAAACCAGGACAGAGTGACTGGCCTTTCCAGCACACCCATTTCTGCTCTTCAAGGGACTCTGTGTGCATGCTCTGTCACACCTTTCCCTTTTCTCTGGCAGCTCTGTGAGCTTCAGCGAGACAGCGAGAGCTGATGCAGTCCTTGGCTACCTGATCGCCTTCCTGGTGCTCCTCTCCACAGTGAAGCTGTGGCACCTCCTCAGGCTCAACCCTAAGCTAAACATGATCACCTCAGCACTGAGGAGGGCGTGGGGGGACATCTCTGGATTCCTCACTGTGATTGCAATCATGTTCCTGGCCTATTCCATTGCTGTGAGTAGCCCTTACAATTATATTTTCATCCTAATGAGGTTGAAGAATTCTTGGACTGCAACTATTTATGTACATTCACTGAAACATTTTGTGTAAATCTTCTGGCAGGGTGATGTGGGAAATTCAGCAAATTGATTGCAGAGTCACTAAAAAAAGTGGAAACCATCTAAGCCAAATCCAAGCTGTCCCATAAAGGACAGTCCTGTGACAAACAGTACCTGCTGCAGACTCACACTGTCTGATTTCATGTCCCTCAGGCCTCCCTCCAGCACTGACACTCAGGCAACTGAGTAGCTTTAGGCACTGGTGTGGTCACAAACTTACCAGCTAAATTAAGAGATCAGATCAGCTCCATGACCCAGCCTGCTGTCCCATCATGTGAGTGATGGAGCTGTGAAAGAAAGAAGGAGAGGGATGATGAAAAAGGTGAGAGTGCAGCAGCCTCCATTTAAATCAGACACAGTAGGCCCACAAGGCATAAATTAACAAATCAGCATCTTGGTTACTGAGGGCAAACAAGGAGGTTGCCTATTTGGAAGGATCTGCGTTTGTGCCTATGAATTATTTGGACAGGGATAAATCTGCTCCTTGAAGATGAGCTAAATCACTTCCATGATTTTTGTCATGTATTTGCAGATTTTTTCACAAAACTAGTGGCAAGATGAGCCAATATAAGACATTCTCATAGCCATGATAAAAGGTCCTAAAGCTAAACACACTCAGGAAGTGTGAATCCAATTCTAGGTTAGGCTTCTTCTGTGACCTTGTCTGATGTTTCCCCTGCTTATAAATAAGAGAAGAACCCAAACCACAAAAACCTTCATGGCTCTAATGACAAGCTGGGAGGGTTTTCTCTGAATACAGCAGTCATTAGCTGATTTTGCAGCAAAGACTCTGATCATGACACAAGATGTGACTTCCGTCCTCTGCAGGCAAACCTGATATTTGGCTGGAAGCTCTACTCTTACAAAACTCTCTTTGATTCAGCAGAGACCATGGTCAGTCTTCAGCTGGGAATCTTCAACTATGAAGAGGTACCACTTTTAATTTTGAGAAGTTTATCACCACACAATTAGCATCTCAGCTACCAAAGATGCTTTGACCCAGCAAACAGAAATACTTTCAATTAGCGTTAAACATTAACATAATTTTGCAAGCTCCACGGCTTCCTAAAGCAGCTGCCTCTTCTCATCAACAAAAAGACAAGTGAAATCTCTCTCACCTCCCATTTTGACCATGAGGAGACTCATAATGAACCTTTCATTGAGAAAGCTGCTCCCATTTCAATTAGAGATGTTACTGATTCATTACAGAAAGTTTTTAGCAATTTTCTTAGAAAGCTAAAGATAGAAGTGTGAGCGGTGCCTCGTGTTTGTTCTGAACAAACCCTCCAGCTCCCCAGGAAAGGCAAGGGGAACTTCATGTTACATTTGTTTTTATTGTTCTGGACTTTTTCATTAAGTTCTTTCAGATACTGCAATATCCTCTGAACACTGTTTTTGTGGAACAAGCTAATTTTTGGACATCTCTGACTGTGAAGTCCTCCTTGGTGGATGTTTTCAGAGCATGGATCCAATAGGATACGGGTGGCTTTGAAGATCAGGAACTGGGAACAAAGTTTTTTTATCTCTACATCCCACTCATGTTAATCATGGAAATATATTCCTATGGTGGAGCTTACATGCAAATTAGGGGTTTGGATTTTTCACAACCCTTGGTTTGTGAGTGTCTAAGAGAGCCTGACTGGGCTTCTCTGTAAAACATATAATGAATTAAAATAACTGCATACAGAGATTTCATGTGTACTTTGAAAGCTGAGGGAGGGAGCTTCAGTTGTTCTGAGGATAAACAGATCTCCAGGCTTGTCAACTGTCATGTGAAACTTTCATACCACTACAATCAATTCAAATACTTAAAAAAACCCCAAAGATTGCCCATCTTATATATATATATATATATATATATATATATATATATAGTATTCTTTCATGTTTGTACTATTTCATATTAACACACGACAGTGGCTAAAGAAGAAAATGTATATATCTGTATAATACATATGGTATAATTGCTTAGACACAGGATTTTCAGAGAGACAAACTTTTTGGGTCTTAACTGCTTGTATGTATGTATGTATGTTTGTGGTTACAATCATGACATGATGTCTTACCTTATGAATTATACAGGTCTTGGACTACAATCCAATTTTAGGCTCCTTCCTAATTGGATCCTGCATCATTTTTATGACATTTGTGGTACTGAATCTGTTCATTTCGGTGATTCTGGTTGCTTTTAGTGAGGAGCAGAAGCACTACCAGGTGTGTTCATCTAAACTCTCCTGTTTTTAGAATTTATTTTTCAGTGCTTACTCATGATTTAGGCAATCAGCCTTGGATGAAAACCATGTAAATTCAGTCCAACTCTTAAGAACTCAACATTTGCTGAGAAAGCACACTTCAGATTTTCCAGATTGACTCTGTCTTTTCCTAGTCAGAGGACTTGCTGTTCAGATTCCATACAAGATCTGATTTGTAGCCTTCCCTTCACATACTAAATCCAGCAAAAAAGTCTAAGGCTTGTGCTATTTTGAAATCAGTGCCAAAACTGCTACTGAAGTGCACGAGGTCTTCACAGCTCCTTTTAAAACTCTCATTGTGAGTGCCTGACCCATTCAAGCTATTGATAACATGGTGTGAAATCCAGCTTAGCGCTCCAGTACTGCCCACAATTCCTCTGTGTTTTAAATAAAGTCAAGGGAGAGGAAAGCAAAGGATGTGGTTGGTAGAAGACAAGATATATTCAGTTTTTCTCATTTATTTCGTCTAGAGACGGTGGGTGGCTCATTGTACATACCACTGGCTGTATGGGAGCTGGCAAGTGCACTCCAGGATGCTGTAGAAAGATTTCCACGGGCTTTGACAGAGCCAAAATTTCTGCGGTGCCCATGCCCATCTGGGGCTTTTGTCTGGATAAAAAATATTGGCAAGTTTTGCTTTGGCAGTCACTCATGCTTTGCTGGGAGTGAAAGCTGGCTTTTTTCAACTCAAGCGGAGATTTTGTCTTGCGACTGAATCCACTCCTGGTCTGTGCATCCCAGTAACTTGCTGCTTGTTGTTATTTCAGGCTTCAGAAGAAGAGGAGATCGTTGATCTCATGCTAATGAAACTCTTCAGTTTCTTCGGGATTAAATGCAAGAAGGAAGAGAAGCCACTCACTGAGGGGCAGCTGGAGCAACCTGTCAGCGAGTGAGCGATGACCACGTTGAAAAGTCACTTTGCCTGTGGGCAAAATATTTACTTTTCACTGTCAGCTGCAGTGGTTAGGGTTAGGTTAGGCTTTAGGCTTAGGTTATCGCAGCTTGTCACTAGAACGGGTTTACCCAAGGGAATGGCGTGAAGCTGTGTCAGGGGAGGCTTAGGTTGGATATTAGGAAAAGGTTAAAGGGGGTGGTCGGGCACTGAACGGGCTCCCAGTGGTCGTGGTCCCAAGCCATAAAGGAGCCTTTGGACAGCGCTCTCAGGCACATAATGGGATTCTTGTGGGTGTCCTGTGCAGGGCCAGGAGCCGGGCTTTGATCATCCGTGTGGGTCCCTCCCAACTCAGAATATACCGTGGTTGTGGGAAAATGAGGCGGTGTCCACCAGCGAGCCGTTCCCAGCATGTTATTTTGGAGCAACAGCTAAGAAGTAACGCTAAACCTAAGGCGAAACTTCCCACGTGCACTTGCTGTAGATTCGGCACCTGTATTTATTTAATAAACACTGAGCGTCTGTTGCAGTCTGGCTTAAAACGCCCCGCTCTCCCTCACGGGAAGATGGCGGCTCCCTCACGCCAGCCCCGGCCCCGCTGCCGGCGCGGCGGGGGCTCTCGGAGCTGCATCCAGGCGGCTCCTCACGGCCCGCGGGTCCCCGCCCGGCCCCGCCGCCGTGAGGGACCCGCTGAGGGCCGGCACGGCCCCGTCCCCGCCCCGCCGCCATCGCCGCCTCCCGCCGGCGCCGCCCCCGCCCGCCCGCGGCAAAGATGGCGTGGAGAGCGCTGCGGCGGGTCGGGCCGGTGCTGGCGCTGCCGCCGCGCTGCCCGCGCCTCCCGCCGCCACCGCGGGTGCCCGCGGCCCGCGGGCTGCGCACCGGGGCGCTGCTGCTGTCCGGTGAGTGCCGGCCGGGGGAGCGGGGAAAGGGGGGGAGCGCGGCACAGGGGCCCGGCCCCACGGGGAGGCTGCGGGCAGGGTGGGCTGCGGGACCTCTACCCCCCGGTGCGGTGTGCGCGGGGCAGCCGGGGCGAGGAAGCGCCGGGCGGCAACCGCCCTGTATCCCTCCTTCCCTCGCTCCGTCCCTCCTTCGATCCCTGCATCTCCCTCATTCCCTCCCTCCCGCCCAGCCGCGTGTCCCGGCGGCCCCTCGGAGGGTACCGGGAGAGCCCCGCAAGGCGGCTGAGGCCGCGGAGGGCTCGTCCCTGCCCCTTGTCCCGCTCCTGACACTGTCCCCATCCCCGCTCCCGCCGGGAGCAGGTTCACCTCCCTCAGCTGCCAGGAAACTTTCCACCTCCGCTCCTCCGGGCACAGACGCTCAGTCTGCCCCAGCCAGCGGCTCTGAGGAGCGGGCCGAGCGCGGAGAGCGCTCTTGACCAGCACAGCGCGTATTGTCCTGGGATTGTCGCCCCCCAAACAGCTCCAAGGGTCGCCAGCAGCACGGGAAAGGGGCAGGAGGGGGTGTCTGGCCGGGGCAGAGCCAGGGCCAGGGAGAGCCAGCCAGGTTTTCAGGGCCTTGAGCCTGTTCGGGATGAAGTTCGGCTCTGGCGGCCAGAGCTGCACCGGTGGCGAGGCAGGAGATGGACTCACGCATCAGTGCCCGGTGTGGTTTTGCTCTGTGTAGTTAATTCTGAAGGCATCTGCTGCTGTCGAAGCTCTCTTTGAATGGAAGTTGCCCACAGAAGTCTGAAGAGCAGAACCTGTGGTACTCTAGCAAACAGAAACGTTGAAGAAGTAGGTGAGGAGGCAAATATGCTATAAAAGTAATGCAGCCACTAAGAGAGCTCATTAATTTTCTTCCAGATAGTCTTAGACCTATCTGCTTAACTGCCTGCAAGCAAAAGAAATAACGTTTGTTACTCATTATTTGCAGATTCAGTCAAGGTCTAAACTTTTTCAGAATTCTGTTGTGAACCCATTGTTCTTCTATACACATCACTTGAAGGAGTAACAAGTTGTGCTTTTGTTTTAGGCAGAGGGGAAAAAGTTTGTGGAGGTGTGAGTTCACTCTTCAGGTGTATATTTATGAAGTATTTAATAGAAGCAGGTTACACTGAATGAAGGGCTGAGTTCAGAATGTGGCAGTTAAGCTGAAACCAAAGTCCTGTTGAAATGGAGTAAATTCAGCTGCTCTTCTGAAAAAGGATGCAGGGTAGAGATTAGCTGTGCTTTGACAATTCATATTCATCTAAATTGATTTCTTTAATGGGGTAATCCCATAAACTCAAAGTTCAAATCTTGAGATTACTTATTAACTGTTTTTAATTTGACCTTTACTTTAGCTGCAGGGTTTTTTGTTGCATGCTTAGATTTCTTAATTTGTCACTTTTTTTTTTTTCAATCCTGAAAGAAATTTATGCCCTCTTCCAACTGTTCAGAACATTTTACTGCTGTATTCCACTCATATGAAAGTGTTCTGGTTTTTTATTAGCCTTGCTTTATAAATAAATATTGTATAATATTATTATCCAAAATAAAAATGTATTTGTTGGCTTCCGTGTGACATTTGTTAACATCACAAATGGTCAGCTTGGGTCTGAGATTGTGTGCCATTCCCCATTCTTATGGTTCATTACTCATTTCCAATAGAATTCCTGTGCGTTTAACGTCTTGACCGCAAATGATTTAAAACATTTGATTTATTCTGTTCATCAGAGTGTGTCAGGAGGTGGTTTTGTAGGTATAAATAATGCTATCTGAAATTCTATGGGGTTTTTGAGTGATAATTCATAGGAAAATACTTCATATTTACACTTTACTCAATTTTTTTTTTGTGTCCTCCACTTGCAAAAACGTGTATTGCTGTCCTGAGGGCCATAAAATTTAGGCCCTATTCAAAGACAAGCCATTTTATCTGAGGCTTGCTTCTGTTGAACAAATAAGAGGATGCCTGCAATCGAAACAGCCTAAAATATGACAGACTTACAGTGGAAAGACTTTAGCAGGTCTGCAGTGAGAACATCCCTTGCCTGGTTGGGTGGGTGCTGCAAGTAAAAATTAAAAATAAATTAATTTAAAAATAAGTAGGGAGGTATTTATGTGGAAACTATATGAGAAAACACACAAGGCAGCTGAAAATGCTGAGTAAAAAAAGCTCCAGGTAAAATGTTAGCAAGAAAAACGTTGCCTGATTCGGGTACTTCTTTTGAAGTTTCTCCATGTGACTTTCTGAGAACAACGGACTCCAATAAAGGGGGCTGGAATCTTGCAAATGTAAAATGTATGGAGAGTTGTGACACTCCTGTGGAATGACTTCACAATGTCTTAATAGGCTTATTTTAAAAATGATACAAAATAACTACTGTGTTCTTCTCACAGTCCCAGTATTAACAGAGAGCAAATTCTCTCGAGTAGCAGTTATCAGCGTTAGTTGACTTTATTTGTCCTCTGTTAATTTGGGTTAATTTTACACAGATCTGTGACAACTTTGAAAGAGATGCTGTGAGACTGACCTGTTTCTTGAGTCATTAACATTGGCCTGCCCAAGGGGTTGGCAGAAAGAAACACTGAACATGTTTGAAAAGCCACTAAGCTCTGGTAGAAATGTGTGACTCTGAGTAAAATACACGTTTATGCTTTAGATTTTCACTTTTGTTGGAAGTAGAGCTGCTCCTGTTGCTCCTGTCCTGTATCAGTCTCCGGATGATTGCACAGGGACTGGTCAATGCTCTCAGGAGAACACCCAGGGAGCTTCTGCTATGTCACTGAGCAGAACAAAAGGCTTTTGCAAAGTGTACGTGCTGTGTAAGGTATTTCCCAAGGAAGCTGGAGTGAAAAGCCCCCCAGTTTGAGCCTGCAGATATTTAAGTGAGCAACACGTCACTTCTTTCTGAAATGTCAAGTTTGTTCCCTTCCAGCCCGCAAGTTCACAGACAAGCACGAATGGATATCCGTGGAAAATGGCATTGGAACAGTAGGAATCAGCGATTTTGCCCAGGTATCGATCCCTCCCCTAGGCCTGCAATATTTATTTGGGCATAGCTGCTCCTGGCCTTGCTCTTTGGACACCTCTGGTTTCTTTGTTGTTTTAACTGCACGTGTTACACGCCGAGCGCCGTTTCTAGACTTGGATCTGTCACATTGCTCGTGATATTTGTGCTGCTTCAGCATTCTGATAAGATCTTAATTGCTTCAGGTTGAGCCTGTGGAGAGCTGAACTTGCTGAGGGTCTCGATTCCTTCAGTTCTTCCAGGCCTGAGCAGTTCGTGGCTGTGTGAAGGGGACACCACGGACTTTTTTTTTAGGTCAGATTTCCCAGGGTGAAATCCCTCTGGCTAAAGAAAAGTTGTGAATAGATGTACAACATGGCACATATCTCTCATCCTAGGACAGGAGTTCCTTGGGATTCTTTGTTTTGTTCTGGTGCAGGCGATTGATTTGGAATCATTTCACAGGCAAATTCAGGACAGAGACGCCGGGTGTGAAACGTGAGAAAAATGAATGGCACAAGCTATCAATAAGTGGAATTAATGTTTCTTAGGACAAGCAGCATTTCCTGGGATCTCACTTCCCTGTGGATAACATTGACACTGTGTGAGATCCCTGGTCTTTGGTAAGATAGGGTACCTGTGTCAGGGAAGAGCTGAGCCAATTCTTATGGTGATAAGGAGGGTACCAATTAAGCCCTTCAGGGCAAACTGTGCACTAACAGCTCTCCAGTTGTCCCTGCCTCTGCAAAGGAATCACTGAATCTTCTTTCAGACTGCATTGGAGGTAAATCCTCTGTGCTTTGTAACAAACAGGTAATTCCCTTAAACCAGTTGTTACTGTAACTGCTGCTAAGAAGGTCAGCAGATGTTATTCCTCATTCTGCCAGAAGAAATTTCATATAAACTGAGCCTGAGGCTTATTAGCACCATAATAGAGAAACAGTGATTTGGCATTTTGGGGCGTGATAAAACAATCCCATTTTTTCATGTTAAATGTTTAAAAAGAAAATGTATAATGCTTAAAGATGAGAACTAAGTCTAGAGAGTGCTTATACACACATTCCAGAGTTACT